GCGCGCGCATGTGTGTGTGTGTGTCTGCCTGCCTGCCTGCCTGTGTGTCTGTGGGGGTGGGGATGACACCTGGGGCCTTGTGCCCACTGCACTGAGCTATGTCCTCAATCCACATATTATAGTTGTAGACACCATTCGTATTCTTTTGAGAATAGCTATAAAATGTTCCTTTGAGAACAAATACAATTTTTTTTTTGTTTTGCTTTTTGTTTGTTGTAGCCCTGGCTGTCCTGAAACTAGCTCTGTAGACCAGGCTGGCTTCAAACTCACAGAGATCCGCCTGTCTCTGGCTCCCAAGTGCTAGGATTAAAGATGTGTGCCACCACTGCCCTGCTGGGGACAAATATGTATTCCTGCAATCCCCTATTGTCGGACACTGAGGTTGTTTCTAACCTCTTTACTAACTGTTTCAGTCCCAGAAGAATTAAGATTGGACATCATGGTTCAAACCCCCCTTCCACACTTGTAAAACAGGAGGAGGAATTCCTGTCTCACTGGATTGGTGTAGAGGTTGGAGGATAAGAACTAAGCTCTAGGAAGGCTTTTACAGGGTATTTGACACAAAGTAAGTGCTCAATAAAACCTCACTGTTAGCAATACATTCTTGGTACTGTGAACTTTCAGACTTTTACTCTGAAAAAGCTTGAGAGATTGTCATTTATATGGTTGCATACATCCTCTTTATAACCCTTGTCTTTATTAGCTAAGGACGGCCTGTTTCCTCCCATCCTAAATGGCTAAGGATGAACACAGATTTCCTAGCTACGTCATTGGCCCCAGAACTACTTTGGGAGTCACATGGTAATAACGCCCCTCACACTTGGGAGGGCTGGCTTCCTTTTGTGTGGGGGCTCTGAACCCAGAACTTTGGCTGATGTTGGAGGAAGTCCTGTGGGGAGCATGCCCTGTGGCCACATCACTGAGGTCGAGGCCGTTGCTCCCAGGCAGGCATGCTGTGCCAGCTAAGGCACTGTACCAACACCTCAGGGTGCACACCACACCATCCCTCTTTACTTTATCCCATGAGTCATCTTGTGCCCTGTCTTACGGATGAGTAACCTGGGACTCCAGAGTCTTTATCAGCAAGGATCTTGCCAAGGTCACTCAGCTTCCAAGAGTTCTGGAAGTCTCAGCTTGTCTCCATGACACATCAGCACAATGGGGCTTCCTGGGTGGGCAAGCAGAATGGAGTTCAGGAGACTCGGTGGACCTCTGATCACCTCAGATTTTCTCTCTCTCCCTCTCTCTCTCTCCCTCTGTCTCTCTCTCTCCAGCTTCATTTATTTTTATGTATGTTTCTCTGCATGTATGTGTGTGTTCCGTGTATGTGCCTGGTGCTAGGCTGGAAGATGGCATTGGATCCCACAGAACAGGTTGTTGGGAGCCATCATGTAAATGCTGGGAACTGAACCTTAGTTCTCTGAAGAGCAGCAAGTACTCTTGACTGCTGAGCTGTGTGGCTGTGTGTCCAGCCTCTTGGTGACCATCTCTTGAAGCTCAGAGAAAGGATCAAAAGCTCAGAGAAAGGAACACCCGCGTCCCAGGTAACCTGGGAGTCAGAGGTCCCTAACCAGGCTCCCCTCATTCTCTTTGATCCTCTGTGGCATCTGCCCCTGCCCAGATGCACTATGTCCTTTGACCCAGGGAGGGAGAGCCAGGACTGGGATATAGTGAGAGCCCCACTCCTATGATGTCTGACTGATGTATCAAGATGGCTGCACTTCTTGTGTCTCTGCTGTACCTCTGGGGCTCCAGAAAGATTAAGGGAGGGCAAGATGGCTAAGCAGTGGCAAAGAGAGGATAAAGGTCCAACAAGTGTCTGGACCCAAGGCCAATAGCAGAAGGCGTATTGTGCTCCAGCAGCTGATGGCCAGGGTGCAGGGTTTTACTTTTGGTTTCTTGTCTGGGTGGCTGAGAACTAATATCTTCCTTCTGGGCCTCAGTGTCCTCCCCTGAGCAATGGAATAACAGTCTCCTTCTACAGCCAGTTCTAACTATGTCTGATGAGAAGGCTATGGTAGCTAAGAAAGGTATGGTATGGGGGGCCCTTGAGGGAGAGCAGAGCCTCCTTTTGCAGAGTAGTTGTAGCTTAGGCCTTGGCCTCCACCCTGGGCTCCTCTGTGCATAAGCCTTAGGATCTCCACAGGCTGGGTGGGGTGAAGTCCAGCCAAGCCAGTTATTCATGTATCTGAGTCTCTACCATGTTCACTAGCTTCATGGCCTTGGGGAAGTTGTGTTGGCTCTAGGGACCTTATGTACTCAGCTGTGAGATGGGCACCTCACACCAGTCTAGATGACTGTTAGGGACCAAAGACAGCTACCTGGGCCACTGGCTAGGTACAATGAATGATCCAGAATGCGTCTGTGGTGTTTCTATCCTGTGTCAACCCATGCTGGGTACAAGGGACTTAGTAGTGAGTGCATGCTTCAGGAGATCCTCCCAGGAGTCAAGAGACCAATGCTGGCCAAATCATCACCTGATGAGCTCCAGGACAAAAGGCAAGTCCCAAGGAGGTCATGCAAGAACTAGGTCTGCAAGCAGCTCAAAGCCAACAGAGAGTAGAGGTGAATATTGGTAAGACGCACCAATATTGTTGAGGGGCATCTACTGGAGAGCAGTGAGGGGGTAGGGACTGGAGCAGGCAAACACAGGTGGGGGGGGGGTGAGAAAGGCTGAAGCAGGTTAGGCTGCAGCTTCTGTCTGTTCTAGTGCTGTGGACAAATGTCCTGAATGGCAAAAATAAGTGTAAGGCTGTGTTTGGGAGCTTGGTTTGAGAAGAGTCCATGAGGCTGTTGGAGACCAGGGGTGGAGGTGGGGGCAGGGCTATCCAGGTGAGGAAGACTCTGGAAGATCATCCAGTCTGGCCTGAGAATCTGAATAAAGGACAGGCCCATCTGGGGACAGGAGAATGCTACTGTGTCCAAGCTCAGTTTGGCTGTGGCTTTGTTTGAGTAAACCGGGGATGGCAAGGGCAGGGAGTGGGAGGAGAAGGCCCAAGTGGCAGGGTGAAGGACAGTAAATACTGGCCGCTGCCACTGGAAAAGGCTGAGGGTGTGCCAGCAGCAGCAGCCACCTGGTACTGATGAGTTAATGATGGGGATGGTATGTGAATGAGTGACAGGATGTCAGGGGAGCCCGCCTCCCACACAATGGGCCGGCCACATGGTCGCCAGAGCAGCAGGGAAGGCCTTGGCAAGACTTGGCTCTGTTCCATTGTCGCTGGAGGCTGCAGGGAGAACCCCACCACCCAGATGTGGCTATGAGACAGGGATGGAGGAGTTGCGGGGTTCTTAGTTGCTGGATGCTATCTTAGCCAGATACAGGCAGCTGGCCCTCAGAGACTTCCTTCATTCCATTCATTCATCAGTCACAAGCCTTTTGGAGGAGACCAGGGACTTCCACCTAAGGAGACCCAGGGGTAGAAACTGTGGTGATGAATTAGCTCCTAAGGTCCCCTGCAGTACATCGGGCACATCATTTGTCATCAAATTGTCAGCAGCCCCTGTGCAGTTGTCACTCTGTTTAGCCCTGCTTCACAGAAAGGAAAACTGTGGCTCAACGTGGTAGAGCCATCCAGGTCACAGAGCCTGCAGGAGGTGAGGCTGACATTGAGTCCCCTGGCCTATGGAGTCTAAGATTTCTTCTCTCCATCACACTTGGGTGGCCTCTAGCCTGGCTACTCCTTGAGGTCCCTGAGGGCTTTCTGGATATCAGAGTGTTGATCTCATGCCTTTTCTGTTTCCTGACTTGACTCTGGGTCAGCAGGGGCAGAGTGGAGAGCCAGAAGCAAGGCTCTGGGCAAATGCTGCCATGTCTTCTCTTGTACATGGCTCTTGCCTCCTCCTGGCTGCTCTGATCCAGCCCTGATCCTGAAGGGACAGTTTCTGTACCTTCTTCCCTGGCCCCTGAGGCCTCTCACAGAACACCTTGTTGTTTTCGAGGCCCCCAGCAGCTCTCATGCCTTTGCAGCTGCCTTTCGAGAATGTTCCACCTCAGCCCTGCTTGTGGTTTGCTCTTGTCTCTCTGTCCTTCCGGTCCCTTGTGTGGCTGTGAACTGCCTGACACCCCACCCCCACCCCAAGCTGGTTACTCTGAGGCTGTGTCTTCTGCCAGGGCAGGTCCCATATCTGGGACCTGAAACTGCTTGCTGGTGCTCCGAACCTGCTTGGTTCTATAAGTCCTCAGGCTCAGAAACACCGGAAGCAGCCAGGAAGATATGAGGGGCCAGACAGAGCCAGAGTCTGGTGGAGTTTGGGAAATTTAGAAAACGGAAGGGAGGTGACCAGGTGGATCATCCAGTCTGGCCTGAGAATCTGAATAAAGGGTGGGACCATCTGGGGACTGGAGAATGCTACTGTGTTCAAGCTCAGTTTGGCTGTGGCTTTGTTTGAGTAAACCGGGGATGGCATGTACCATGTAGGCAAGGGCAGGGAGTGGGAGAAGTGGCAGGAAGTAACCAGCCTGTCTCTCACACTGTGCCTCCGGCACACCTGGAATCTTACACACACTCCTCTACAGTGTGAAGAGCCAGATGAGGCATGTTAGTGCCCTCCCATGCTTCTAGCACCTGCTCCATGCCTCTCACAGAAGCCAAGGGGCCTGGGGAGCTACAGGTCACCATTCAAGGTAATCCGGTTCCTTTATCTCTGAGGTCTCTGAGGGGGAGCCTGCCCGAGGGTACATTCATCTGATCCTGTTACCTAGAAAATTCCACTACAGTGCGTGGAAAGACAGAAGTCACAGACTCCTCCCTGAAATGACGAGATGTGTGTTAGTAGACAGGACAGAGTTAAAGCTGGAAGGGCACGAATGAGCTCTGAGTCTGCGCCCCCCACCCTTGTTAAGATGGGCATTGAAATCTAAAAATGGGAGAAGAGACTCTGATAAATCATTGGTGACTGGAGAGGACCCATGGAGTGGGGGTGGCTGCAGGCTCCCCTTTCCAGGTCCAGCATGCAGGGTGACCTTAGCCAACTTCTCTAGACTTCTGTCTCTGGGCTAGCATATGCAGAGTTGCAGATGAGATGGTCCCAAGCCCAAGGCCTCAGAAGTTCCTGTGAGCTCTTCCTATTAGTGCAGCCCCACACTTGCCCAGCAAGGGGTTAAGCTCTTGGCGCCAGCTCTGCACAGCAAACCCCCTCCTTTTCACAAACACTTGTAGGAAATCAGGCTGGGCGCTTCCTGCGAGAAGGAGGAGGCAAGGCCAGGCCTCAGCTGCAGGGGCGGGGAGAAGTGAGGAGCGATGTTTGCCTGTGAGCTGAGGCGGTTCTGGCTGGCAGAGCCGTCTGGAGGCAGTCCAGGGTGCTACGGAGGTAGGGGGCTCCCCAGGTTTGAAACAAAGACCTAGTGGGCAGCTGCCCTGAACCCAGGCTGGCAGGATGGCGGTGTAGTCCAAATGAGGTAAGGAGCTGAGCCAGGAGGAGGGCCAGCGGGAAGGCCGCCTTCCCTCTGGATGGGCCAGTCATAGACTCTCTGGACAACCCTGGCAGCCAGCCCAGCCCAGCCAGGAAGTCACAGCTATGCAGCTGCTGCCACTCCTGTCCAGCTCTGGGAGCCCGGCCCCCAGGCCAGAGTGGACTCCGGGATGCTAGTGTGCAGTTCCAGCTCTGATTTGGTTCCCTTGCTGAACTTAGACAGTGTTGGTCCCTCTCTGTGCCCTGGATGGGTCCATCTTACCGCCAGTTAGTGCTTGGATTGCTGAGGGTTCCTGGAGATTAGCAGGAGGGAGAACCAGGCCAGGAAATGACACCCCCCTCCCCAGTAAGATCAGAGACAGAGTCTGGATGTCCTGGGGGCCAGGAGTCCAGTTTAGACAAGATGAGAGTCAGTAATAGCCTGACCCCTTTTCCTCCTGGCTGCTTGAGTGAGTCAGGGACAGGCTGGGGGCATTCATAGTTGGTATCTCTGCTTCCTGCAGGCCAGAGGCCACTCCCTGTGAAAAATTGGTCTATTCCCTGCCACTGATGGGAAGTTGCTTTACAATCCCACTGCCTAGCCCTTGAGAAGGGCCCAGAAGTTTGATCTGGAGGTCTCCTCTGCCTCCTACAAGTCTGATCGCTTTAGTTTAATAGCTACAGTGTTCCTCTCCAATCTGAACTTCCTGGTTGTGCGGCCTCCTTAGGTGTCTGCCTCAGTTTCCTCTTTGGAATGAGGTTAAGGTAGAAATGCCCTGGCTGTCCTTGGCTGGATGGCATGGGGCTTCTGAGGGCCAAGACTGCTCAAGGCTGTATAGCCACTCTAGGGGAGGGGCTGCAGGCTTTGTAATGGCCCAGGGCAGGAACAAGGAACAACCCCATCCCATTTTACACACACACACACACACACACACACACACACACACACACACACACACACACAGCTTGTGTGGAGCAGTAGGGAAGAGGAGAATGCCTAGCCTAGAGTCCCTGGAGTGTGTTGGAACATGGAGAACAGGGCTGCTTGGGTATCAGGTTAGGGGAGGTAAGGCAGTGTTTAGTGCTTCCTGCGAGTGGGGTGTAGTTTCTCTGAAGACACTCAGCCCAATGGCCCAGCCTCAGTGGGCCTCAGTTATAGAGGGGCTGGCCCTCCTGGGTCAGGATGTAGTTTGTATGGCTAGCGCTTTTACCAGCTTCCACTGCTGCCTGTAATGACTGTCAGGACCTCGTGCCTGTGTGTGTCACTCAGGGACCAGGCCCTCAGCTCTCCTTGAAGTTCAGCCTGCATTTTCAGACCTCCATGCCTTCGTCTATGCTGTTCCTCTGGCCTGAAAGCCCTTCCTCATTCTCCCCTAGATGTGCTTCATCTGTTAAAGCTATCCTCAAACTTCCTTCTTCAGTGGTGGCTTTTCTGGGTTGCGCCCTCTGAGGAGGGTAGGATCTTGGCAAGCTTAACTCTTTTCTGTAACCTAGGGCATGAGAACCTCCAAGTTCATTTAGTGCATCTCGGGGCCAGTGTACTCACCAGAGCAGGATGATGGGCACAGCAGTAGCAGGGCTAGGTGACCACCTCTCTCTCCTGTTTCCAGAGAGGAGTGGTCAGTCAGCCACATGACTCAAGTGGCAGTCACACCAGGTCTGGGTTCTGCTTGCCTGATGCTTGGCCTACTTCTCTATTGCAGCTTCATCTCTGTCCGAGGTTGGCACATGTTTGGCGTTGATATATGTTTGTTGATTGACTACCTGACTGGCCAGCCCCAGGCTCCGAGGCTCACACAGAAGTCTAAGGTCTTTTTTCGGAAAAGCTCACATGTTGAGGCGCCTGGGGGATGGATGCAGAAGTGTAGCCATTGACTGCTGCTGCCTGCAACATGCAGGCTCTGCTGAGCACAGTGAGATTTCTGCCACTGACTCATTGCAGTAAATAGGCTGTTCCTCTTTCTGCATGCAGAGGTCTCTGTGATTGGGCAGACTGCTCTGTGGTGGATCAGGAAGGAAAAATAACCTTTCAAAAGTCATAAAACCACACACCGCAGCCCTTCCTCGGCAGAGACGTCAGGATGAGGCAAGATGTGCTTGCACCCCTCTATCTGCCCACACCTCCGCACTGGGAGCCAGAAAATGGAAGACACCCTGTCACGATCCTGGTGTAAAGACTCTGAAGGCCTGTCCCCAGGGCCACTGAGCCAGGGTCCTGCAGACAGAGACTGAGTGCTTACAGAATTCTCATGCACACTCAAGGTCAAGATTGCCCCTCACCATGGGCTTGAGCAAGGATGCAGGCTCTGTAGGGAATGGAGTGGTTTGTGTGGGGTACTGCATGTGGCAGAGGTCAGAGGGCAGCCTGGAGTCTCACTTTCTGGCTTGTTCTGGCTGAGCATGCCGGGTCAGCTGGCCTGCCGGCTTCCTACACTCTCCTGTCTCTGCCTCACATCTCCTGGGAGGGCTATGCCAGAATTACAGGTGATTGCACTACTGTATCCAGCTTTTATGTGGGTTCTGGGGTCGTTAGGGTTGTACAGCCAGCATTTCACTTGCTAAACCATCTCCTTGGTCTCACCTGTTCATTCTTCAAAAATACATTGTGTGTGTGTGTGTGTGTGTGTGTGTGTGTGTGTGTGTGTGTGTGTGCACATATGTTGCCATAGCTCATATGTGCTGTCACAACACTTTGAGAGTCAGATCCCTGGGTTCAGGGATCAAGCTTAGGTCCTCAGGCTTGGCAGCAAGTGCCTTTAGCTGCTGAGTCATATCACCAGCCTCTCTATTGCTTCATATTAAAATATTCTTTCTCGTAGGTGTAGTATATTTATTATCCGTCTATACAGATTAAAGTATACCTCTAGTATACCTAGAGGTATATGTGTGCAGATTTTTACTGTTGGGGATATGTGGTTACAAAACCAATTAAAAGAGCCCTGGGCCAGGACTGACCTCTTGTTATCCTACTTACTGACCAGGTGGTCCTGGATGAGTCACTGTTTTCTCTGAGCCTTGGTCTTACCAATGAGATAGGAAGGTAGATATCAATCATGCTTCATGCTGTGCTAGCCTGGCAAAGTGGGGGCATTGTGCAGGGAGTGTAGGGGTTCCATGGGGATAGGGAAGGACTGACTGAGGAACAGTCAGAGAAGCCCTTGAGCCCCATCCCTGAAGCCTGAGTCACCCCTAGTCTTTGTGAAGCCAGCCTTTCCCACGCAGCCCTAGTCTCTGGGGAACTGAGTCTAGAAATAGCTTCCTAATGCCTTTTCCCAACTACGTATTGAAGGCAGGGTCCAAAAGTCCTGGAGGCTCTAGGACCACTCTGACTGCCCAACTCCAGAGGCTGAGGAACTATACTGGCCTGGATGGAAGATCCCATGCTGGTACCAAGAGGCTGGACTCCACCCCAGCCTGATTTTCTCTCCTGTGCTGCTCTAGGCAAGGCCCCTCGCTCTCTGGGCCTCAATTTCCCTACCTTTATATGAACCACCATATGGGTGCTGGGAATGGAACTCTGGACCTCTGGAAGAGCAGCCAGTGCTCTTAACCTCTGAGCCATCTCTCCAAGTCCCCTACCTTTATACAAATTAAGTGTGGACAGCACAGTTCTTTGAGAACCGAGTGGCTAGCAACTCCTAGGTCCTGCGCCTCTGTCCTGAGACTGAGTTTCCTGAGTTCAACACAATGATGGACACAGGAAATACCAGCAAAGTGTTAGAAATAGAGTGTGGAGGGGGAAAGATGAGAAGAGGAACACCCTTCCCTGCCACCACGGCCCTTCCCAAAGTCCCCAGGCTGTCCACCCTGGTTCACTATCCCATAGCAATAAGAGAACCTTCTCCACTGCCTTTGGTTGAGCCCTCTGCATGAGAGTCCCAGGCAGCTGCTGCAGAGGTTGTGAGAGGTTTGTGGGTTTGGTCTTCCTACTTCCCAGCACTCCCTGTTCTCAGTCACCCAGCCTCTGTACTCACAGGACCCCTGGCCTACAATGCTCTAGTTTCTTTCTTTCTTTCTTTCTTTCTTTCTTTCTTTCTTTCTTTCTTTCTTTTTTTTTTTTTTTTGAAGCAAAATCCATGTAACATGAAACTAACCACTCAGCATAACCACACGGTTGCATCGTGTTTCTTCTACTTCCGGGACATTTTCCTCACCCCATTGAGCAGTGAGGGTCCCTTCTCCCCTCCCAAGCATCGCTGTGGCAGCCATCACTTTGCCCCCTTCCTCTCTGGACTCACCTGGTCTGTGCACTGCAATCCTTGGACTTGGACACTCAGGATTCACACATCTGGTTTTTTTTTTACAACACAGCGCTTCAGTGGTTTATCTACATTGTCACACATATTGGGACTTCATTCCTTTTTTCTGGTGTAATCCCATCCCTTTCTGCAGCTGAATAATACTCTGCTATGTGTAGAGACCACAAATTGTTTCTCCATGCAGATGGATGGATGGGTGTTGTGAGTGGGGTTGCTGGGAATGTGTGGAGGCGTGTTTGCGTGCATGCCTGCTTTCACGTAGCTTGGGCATTGGAATCGGCTCCCTGCTTTCAACCTGAATTCAAGGAAAACATGTGGGCTTGGAGTGACACGACTAGGGCTCCCATCACCCCTCACCTGGACAGTGGCTGCTTGCTAATCTGTGCATGTCCTCCTTTGGGCAGTTAGTGCTGTGAGAAGGGCTTGTGCATAGTGCCTTCAGACAGATCTAGGTTGCAGTGGCAGTATCTGGCATTTAGGGTACACTTGTACAGTGTGCTGACAGCTAGCACAATACCCTGTATCCTAGAGGAAGAGGAATCCTCACTTCATTGATGACAAATGAGGACAGTGAGTCACCCAAGATCACACAGGAGAGGGCTGCCTGCCTCTGGGGATCCTAGATGGAAGACCCTGAAGATTGATATTATCTGTTGGTTGTACCCCAACAGGCCACAGGCAGGATGGCTGGTGCTGAGAGGAATTACCTGTGACTTGGACCCCCAGCTGCAGTCCAGGCTCTTGAAGATGAAGTGGCCCAGGTGAAGCTAGGCAAGGCCCCATGGCCAGCTCAGGGACAGAGGCACACTGGGCTGGGCCAGGCCTGGAGCAAGGGCCCCAGAGGCGGCGCTGGGCTTGGGCTGAGGAACAGGATGCAGATGGAAGCAGTGACCAGGGCTGGGGAAAGGAGCAGTCTCTTCCTAAAGCCACCAGCCCTGAGCTCCTGGAGGACTTCCGTTGGGCACAGGAGCACCAGCCACCCCTGGAGTGGGACCCAGGCATGCAGGAGTCTGATGAGTCTTCTAGAGAAGGTGAGGTGAACTCCTCGAGCCTACAGTGGTAACCTGTTCTCCAAAGAGCCTACCTTCTAGCAGAGGCAACAAAACAGGGGTATCTTTACAGCCCTTCATTAAATTCTATTTTTTAACATTTAAATTGCACATTAATATTGTGCATTTCGGAAATGTAAGCATATAAGAGGTAATTTTTTTTTTTTTGGTCTTGAAATGGTTTAATTTAGTCTTTCTTTCTTTCTCTCTTTTTTTATTCCCTTACCCTTTCTCCACAACAGAAATTAACTTAAAAAATCCTTCTGGCTAAAGTCCCAATGCATTTTTCACAGTGAGCATTTTAAGAGGTAAATTTTAAAACTGCTCATTCTACCCCTCCACAGGTGAAACTGCTTTCCAATATGCAAATGTTTGTTAGAATACTCCATTGTCACTTGCTTGTTATTGAAATAGCTAGGAATCTTTTTCCTGTTCTCCCAACATTCTCCCACAACTCTCTAATAGGACCTGAATGGACTGGGGCTCTCCCATAATCCTTTGGGCCAATCTCTCCTGCCCTGCATGATAGTTTCTGGTTTGTGCTGTGGTGAATATCACAGAGGAGAATGCCATCCAGCGTCTTTCCACACTTGCCACCATCCTATGTTTGGTTAACTGGAGTTGCTTGGCTCAGGGCTTAGGCTTGTTCTAAGGATTCTTCTAAACCCTAGTCAGCAGAGGGTATGTGGACATTCTTCATCTGCTCTAGTGATTGTATTCTAATTGCCAGGAGGCCAGCTTGGAGGGACTTCTCGGCTTCTCTCATGCAAGTCTGCTTTTCCACCCTAGCCTTGGTTTCCCTACCGTTGAAATAAGGCATGATGACACCATTGGGGACAGGGAAGTCTTGATGTATGCTGGCTCCTCTGCTGGATTAAGAATAGGAGGTGCCCACATTAGATCCCTTTAAATCAGTAGAACCCTCAGACCATAGAGAAACCATTTGTGCCATTACCCCCAAGTGTTTCATGCCTGCCACAACTGTCCACCTGGGAGCTGTTTTCTTATTTTTATTTATGTTTTAGTGTGTGTGTGTGTGTGTGTGTTACTAGAAACTGAACCTCAAGCCTTCTATAAGCCATGTACATGCTCTAAGGCTGAACTATATTCCCAGCCTCTAAAAAAGAGTATATTTTTGAGATGGAATCATTTCTGAGGGAATAGAGATGTTAAAGGCAATAGGCAGAGGTATCTCTTCCTAAGAGATACTTGGTATGATGTAACAGCCTCCCTCCCTCCACTTCAACTCTCTGCACGCAAGAGGAACAAACCTCAATTTTAAATTAAACTTTAATTTTAAATTAAATCAGTGACTTGTTAGTGGTCCCCAGGCAGGGATCAGAAGAGCATAGTGAGTATAGGTCCAGGACTGCTCTGACAAACAGTGTGGATGAATCCAGTTTTAAGTAGCCAGGAGAGAGATATGCATTGTCAAGAGTTAGAGGGAAGAGGACTAAAGAACAGCAAGTCATACAGGAGTTACAAAAAAGGCACCTCCAATCAGAGCAGATTCTATAAAATGTTACCTAGTGTGTCTCATGAAGAGCTGGATCTATCCCAGACAGATCAGACTAAGTAGGTACTCGGTAAATATGGCTGCCTGTAGGATGGATGGATGGATGGATGGATGGATGGATGGCTGGGTGGATGGATGATGGCTGGGTGATGAATAGATGAATGCATTAAAGGATGGTTAGGTGGATGGATGCTTGAAAGAATGGATGGATGGATGGATGGATGGATGGATGGATGGATGGATGGATGGGTAAGCAGGAAAAACCCATACTCGTTACAAATAGGTAGGTGCTTGAAAGGATGGATGTGTGGGTGGATTATGTAGGTAGGGATGGGAGATGGCTGGGTTGCAAATGGATGAATGGATGGATGGGTAACATGATGGATGGATGGTTAGGTGAATGTTATGTCTACTACATAATAATTACAACAGCTACCTATGTCTTGGAAGCTGTGCACACTTTATCTTTTCCCTTTCTTTCTACTCCAACAAGAAACCGTATTGGGCACCTGCTGCTCAAAAGCAGCCAATGCCCTTGCCCTCAGGAAGCTTGCAGTGTTCTAGAGAGCTATGCTAACAAAATAATCCCAAGACTGAACAAACAGCTTTCACTGCAATAGGTGATATGATGCAGAGGACTCCTGTGAGAGCCTGCAGAGGGGGTGTTTGACCTTATCCTTCAGAACTTCCCTGGTTAAGTCAAGATTGAGATGCAGCCTGAAGGACCAATAGCTCAAGAGATAAAGCAAGGAGACAGGACCCTGGTGGAGGATGAACCAACCTCAATACTTTTCAGGGTCAGTGGGATGATGGGTGTTGGAACAGCAGGGACCCCAGGACCACAGGAAAAGCTCTGCTTTTTGCTGGGAATAATGAGGAGACATGATGAGATTCCAGGTGGTGGGATGGGGCTGAGGAGGAGGTGGTTAAGTGGTTATCACATTCCTCCAAGCATAAGAAGACATTGGTTTAAGTATAGTTATGGGAGCAGGAATCTGCAGAGAGCTCTGTAGGAAACAGGACAGAGACAGTCTGGATCAGGGGCTAAGGAGAGGGAGATGATCAAGATGCCTTCCGGCTCTGCTTTACCCAACTACATGGGGTGATATTGCCGTTTGTGTAAATGGGAGACACTTTGGTGTGTCTGGGTTCTTGCCATCTGCACATCATGAGGTCCTGAAGTGACTCAGGTGGCATTACAGACCCAAGATGTGCTCAGCAATGAATGACCTGTCTTTCCAGAGACAGAAGCCGATGATGTGAGCAGCCCAGAGGGTTCCACCTTGCCACTGCCCTGGCTGTCCAGGCACAATCAACAGCTGGACCTGTCTGAAGAGGACTTGGATGAGGCAACTGGAAGCCCTGAGGCGGAGTTAGCTGAAGAGAGCTGCACAGAGCTGGAGTGTGAAGACCCAGGAGAATCCAGCCCTGAGGCTCTGGAGCAGGGGCCAGCGGGAGGCTGGGTGGTCTCTATCAAACAAAGCAGTAAACACAGACCTTCTGAGCACCCTAAGGTTCATCCATCTGTTGAACGCAGCCTCGCAAAGTCCTGGAGCAGTGGGACTGTGAGTCTCGGCCAACCTAGTGACAGCCTTGATTCTACCTGGGAAGGAGACACTGATGTCCCCGAGCCTGCCACGCTGGCCGAAGGACTGCCACAGAGTCCACACCATAACCTCCCACAGCCAGATGACAGAAATGGAGATGGCGTTGCTCCGGCAACACCCGCAGAATTCCGGGACTCCTTAGCAGCACCAGCCCAGAATCCTCAGTGCTCTGCAGGCACATGGCGGCAGGAAACTACCAGCCTGCCCAGCTCTAGGCCTGAGGACCAAACCTGGAGGAGAACTAAGACATCACCGAAGCCACTGCCCTCCCGGTTTACTGGCTCTATCAGCCCCCCAAGTACTCGGCTTGGGGCGGTAAAGAAAGTTGTGTCACAGCACAATCAAGGAGCCACTCTGGCTGGCCACTCTTCTTCAGATGCCCCCAAGTATGGCCGGGGGCGCCTGAACTACCCACTCCCTGACTTCTCCAAGGTGGGACCCCGGGTAAAGTTTCCCAAAGATGAGAACTACCGACCCCCCAAGTCCAGAGGTCACAACAGGCAACAAGGCCCTACCAGACCCCTAATCTTCAAGTCACCGGCTGAAATTGTTCGAGAGGTACTGCTGAGCAGTGGAGAGAGATCCCTGGCCAACAACCCTTCTCTTACCCACCCCATCACCAGGGTGCCCCAGGAGTTCCAGACACCTGAACAAGCAACTGAGCTGGTCCATCAGCTGCAGGTAAGCAATACTCTTGTCCCTGTGTGTCACCCAGGCACTCTGTTGGAGAAGTGAAGCTCAGGCTCTGGGCTGGATCCCCTGCTGGTGAAGGTGAAGTTGTCCCAGGGCCAAAGATAGACCCAGCCCCTTGCTCAAATAAGAGCAGTAGGGAGATTGGGGAGATTGGGGGTGTGACTCTGTTGGTAAAGTATCACCCTCTAACATATTTTGTTGTGCCAGAAGATGGATCTCACAATTCAGTTAGTTTGCCAGGCCAGTGAGCCCATAGATCATCCTGTCTCCTCCAGAAAGTATTGGAGCTATAAGCATGCATCACTTTACTTGGTTTTGTTGTTTGTGTGTGTGTGTGTGTGTGTGTGTGTGTGTGTGTGTGTGTGTGTGTGTTTTGGTGGGGGGAACAAAATCTCTTTACATAGCTCTGGCTATCCTGGAACTCACAGAGATCCTCTTGCCTCTGACTCCCAAGTGCCAGCATTAAAAATGTGAAAATGTGAACCATCATGCCCGGCTTCATGCTTGACTTTTTAATACAGGTGCTGGACAGCCAAACTCAGTTCCTCATGCTTGCACAGTAGGCACTTTACCCACTCAGCCATCACTCCAGCCCTGAATCTGACCTTTAATAACAATGACTTATTTTGGGGAGATTTTCTTGCATCACAGGCAACCAGTGGCATCTGCCCTGTTTTTTTCCCTGCAGTGGTGGCTTTAATGAAATTTGGGTTTTGTGTAAGGCCAGTGAACCTGAGTAGATAAGAACTATGACTTTTAATTACTTTCCAGTCCTTTGTGCATGCTTATGCACATGTTCATGTATATGTGGATGCCTGCTCAAGCTATCAGCTTTGAGCATCTGCCTTGGGTTTTTTGTTCTGTTTTTGTTTTTGTTTTTGAGACAAGGTCTCACCTGGTGTTCATTTATTCAGCTAGGCTGGCTGGCCAGAGAGTTCCAAAGACCCACTTGGCTCTGCCTCCTCAAATGAATGCTACCATACCTGGCATTTTTACGTGGGTTTTGGGGGTAAAACCTGGGTCCTCATGCATGTGTGTGGCCTGGGCTGACTGCATCTTTTCTTTACAGGAGGACTATCACAAGCTCCTCACCAAGTACGCTGAGGCAGAGAACACCATCGACCAGCTTCGCCTTGGGGCCAAGGTACTGACTGGAATGGGCTGAGCTTGGTGGGCACAGCCAAGAGCTGGGGTCCTTAGAGAGATGGCCTACCCTAGAGTCTTAGAGAAAGGCCACTGGCTCCCGCATCCTGAGACTCTGTAATGAAGAATCCTAGTTCTTGAATTACCCCTAGGCCTTTAGGTGACCTGGGCATAACCTAGCCACCCCTGGGCTCTCTTTCTCATGGTTAATGTCTTTGAGTAATGGAGACTGGGGTACTCGGGAATGTTGCCAGAAGCTGTCTCCTCTGTGACTTTGTGGGTATGCCTACCTAGGCTGACTCCTAACTCTAATCCTAGCCAGCTGGGTGGCTTTCAGGAAGTTGCCATGCCTCCCTGAGCTCAAGGCTGTAGCCCAGGCTTTCTGCTCAATCTTTGGTGCCCCTGAGTCACACTTTCACCTCTTCCCCAGGTCTGTATCTGCCTGGAACCAAGCACCCTGGGTGGGGCAGGCGGGGTACCCTGAAGAGATAGCTCATCCACCCTGAGAACTGGACAGCGTGCCTCCCACCCTGACCTGTCTCCAGAGGAGGCTGAGAAGCCTGAATGGGGGCCTTCCTCTTTCTTGCCGTGAGGCAGGAAGCGGGCCAATTGTGGTCCCTTTGGCTTCCTGCTTTCCCCATACCTCTGTTTACTCAAACAGGCAGCCTAGAGCAAGCAGGGTAGCTGTGAGCAGAGATGCAGGCCCTCTCCTGCTCTGGTTGTCCCCCTGAGAGTCCCCCCCACCTTCCTGCAGGATGCTCTCTATTCTGAGGTCCCTCTGCCAAGTGCTGATTTCATGTCTTTAATCACTTCTGGGGAACACAGGGGAAGGCAACCATAGCAAAAACAATGGGGCCTATTGTAGGACCAGAGACCTCTGTTCTTACACTCATGGCTCTGCCAGGTGCAGGCAGGATACTTCCCACCTGGTCTCCTGGGATCTGTTGGGTTATGGTGGGGCTGAGGGTTACCATCAGACCTTCCGAAAGACAACAAGCCCCACTGATATCTTTAGGAGCCCCAGAGTTCTAAGAAGAGAGCAGGACTGTCAGGAACAGGGCTGGGGAGGGCTGCAGAGAGGGCTCATGGGGTAAACTATAGGAGAGGCTGAATACTTTAGCACCAGCCACACTTTGGAAAGAGAGCTCTTTGCCCAAGGAAAGAGTGAGTTCTTTTCAGTTCTGTTCACCGGAAATGATCCCTAATTCCCTTCACCCAGCCTCACTGCTACCCAGGGAGTGATGGGGCACAGCTCATAGTCCCAGCGTCAGGGAAGAACATGGGGCCAGGGCCATAGATGCCTCACTTCTGAGCCCCATAAACTCTACCAGAAGGTGCCCTGCTCACAACCCACTTCAGGGAACCTGGTTGAGGGCTTCTGGCTCCTGTAGGCTTCTTGCTCCTCACAAGGATCTGTGGGCATGGCTTCTCCAGGACCTGGCCAGCCCTTTCACTGTGAGCCCACAGTAATGCAGGAGAGGCTAGGCCCACCTAAGAGGGAGCAGGCTGGAATTTACCTTGATACCTAGGCTATCTCTGTGTGGGTAACTGGGAACCACAGTCCAGTGGAACAGAGACTGGCATTGGCTGAACCAGAGTCCAGGCTCAGAATAAGGGTTTCCCCTTTGGTTCCTTCCCCTTGCAGACACAAAGCTAAGCCAGGAATGTCCCACAGCATGTGTGAAACACAAAGGCGGAATGCCCCCCCTGACCTGCTCATGCTAGATTGTGTTATTTCCTGAGGTCTGGGAAGCCCAGGCCCTGGCATGGTGTACAGGACAGGTCTACAGCCAGGCAGGCCTTGGGATCAGAATAGCCATCAGTGAGTGGTGGCTTTGACTGCTATCTTAAGTCATTTACAACTGGGCCCAGAAAGGTTAAGCAACTTGTCCAGGGTCACACAGCACAGCGGCACCAAAGCTAGGGGACCTAACTTACTCTGTCAAAACCAAGCCAACACTTATTGAATTTGCAGCCAGAAAAGCTTGCCAGGGAAAGCCAAGGCTAGACCTAGGAACACCTCTGGAACAAGGCCCTGGGGAGCATGGGATAGGGGACCAGGATGAGTTAGGAGTCCTGGGTGAGCCTGCTGAGTCTCACCACATGCTGTCTTGTTGCTACTTCCTCCTAGCTCCTGCCAGCCTCCCTGCCCCACCCCCATCTCAACTGTGGAGGGATGCCAAACAGTTGAGGAGACAGAAACCACCCCAGAAAGAATTGGGGGGTAAGGTTAGACTGGTCCCGAAGTGAATTCACCCTGGATACAGAAGCTCCTGACAGGATGCTTTGTGGGGGTGGGGAGCTTCTGTGCTCGGAGGAGTGGAGGAGTTGAAGTGCTCCCTCCTCCTCCCATCTTGCCCCATTCACAAAGCTCATTACCATTTTAAAGGCTTGGAGACCCCAGCTGCAGCCAGATTGTTCATTTGTTTAACCCCATGTTTCCCAAACTCACTGGTCCACCCTGCATGGAGTCCTGAGGGCTTCCGAGCATCATCACAGGGTCTACTGTGTCTAGGAAGGTAGATCATGACAGGGAGGGACCCACGCAGCTCAGCAGCCGATAAAGTCCCCTCCCTCTTCCCCACTTCCTCTTGACAACTACACTCGGCTTCCCTTGTTTTCGTCCTCTTGATCTGGAAGCTGCCAGGTCCACCTTGCTCCCCAGGTGGGGCCTTGGCCCAGTGGGCAGGAAACTCAAGGGGGCGGGACCTCTCCTAGGATTTGGGTCACCTCAGGAAGAAAGGGGCGCTACTGTGGGCACCCCACACACAGGCAGAACTGAACAGATGGCGCAGAGGATTATGAAAATCCAGCTTTGTTCTCTGCCAGGAAGGCTCAGTCTGCAGCAGGGGGAGGCATTGCCGCCAAATTGTGCTTGGAACAGCCAGCCTGTTCCACAGTCTGGAGGCTGTGGAACCCCCAAGCCAGACCTATCTTCAGCTACTTAGTCCTGGTCCTGGAGTGTCAGCGTATAATCAGCATAGTCCACTCTGCTCTTAAATAGGTACGAAGGTATCATAGGAATGTGGCTCTTTCACTGGCCTATCTTCATGGTGACTATGCATGCATGTATGTATGTATGTATGTATGTATGTATGTATGTATGTATGTATGCATATGGATAGGGAGGATGTGGCAGACAGAGGGATAATGATGAAGGTTAAGGTAATGATGAAGATGATGGTGGCGGTGATGATGATGATGGTAATATTGGTGATGATAATGGTGGTGATGGTAATGGTGGAGATGGTGGTGGCTGTATTAGTTACTTGTCTATTGCTCTGATAAGATACCATGACCAACCAGCTTACAGAAGGAAGGATTTATGGGTGTTTATGGTTCAAGAGGGACAAGAGTGGAGAAGTGGAGAAGCGTGGCAGGCAGTCATGGTGGATGAACAGCAAGTTGAGCAGTCGCATCTTAACTACAAGCAGGGAGAGCAAACTGAGAATGGTGTGCGGCATTTGAAACCTCAAAGCTCACCCCAGTGACATACTTGCTCCAGCAAGGCCACACCTCCTGATCCTATCTCCAAAATGCCACCAACTGGGACCAAGTATTCAAACCCTGAGACCATGGGGGACATTCTCTTCCAAACCACCATGGTGGCAATGCTGAATATGTAGGCGGCCGCTACCATTTGCTGTGTACTAACTTCCTGCGTGGAGGTGCCAGCTGTGTCATCTACTCTAGAACTCAGAGGTTTACCATATTGGAGCCTGAATTTGCTCCAGGCTCTGGAGTACATATACGAAGCCACAGATAGCCAGACTGAGTATTATCAGATGTGGCTGCCAAGCTTGGCTGCTATGGAGTGAAAGCTGCCATTGGCGGTGTATAACAACAGAGGTGGCTTTGGCCAGTACACCCCTGTAAACTAAAGCAGACCCTGGCTCCCCAGCTCTATGTCACACCCCTGCTTATAACCTGACTTCTCTCTTGCTGAGCTCCAATGTAATTCCTGGTTGGCTGCCTCCCTACATACTTTCCACACCATCTACAGTGTCAGAGCACAACTCCTAAGAGGATTCCTCTGTGTATGACATCTCCTTCATTCATTCAAGCAACAATTGGCTACAATTTATATTTATTATCAGTGTTGTTATTAAAATATTTCATTAAAATGTTAATGATTATTATATATGTATTAAACACATATAATAAATATTATTAGTAGAAATTATTGTTGCCAGTGTAAAGCCATAGGCTTTGGGGTCAAAGTGGTATTGTGACCTAGTCCAGGTATGACCTAGTCTAGGTACTTAGCTGATGACCTCGTGGGACTTAACTTCTCAGAGTCTCAGGGCTCACAGGGCCTTACAGAGACTAAAGTGGCAATCTCAGAGCCTGCATGGGTCTGCTCTTAAGTTCTCTGCATATATGCTGTGATTGTTCAGCTTGGGATTTCGTGGGGATCCTAACAGTGGGAATGAAGGTATCTCTAACTATTTTGCCTGCTCTTGGGACCCTTTTCCTTCAACTGGGTTACCTCATCCAGCCTTGATATGAGGGTTTTCCCCTAATCTCGTTGCATCTTGTTACGCCATCTTCAGTTGATGTTCCCAGGAGACCTGCTCTTTTCTGAAGGGAAACAGAGGGGCAGTGGATCTGGTGGGGACTGGGAGGAGTGGAGTGAAGAGAGGCTGCAATCAGGGTTATCTTATGAAAGATGAATAAATAAAAAGGGGGAAAGGAAGGGAACAATCAAGAAAAATAGGGAAAGTAGTCTCTGCCTGCCTCCCTTCAGGACATGTATAAAGAGAATAGGAAGGGGTTTGTAAGTCCTTTGCCCAGTGTGGGCTCCACTGAAAAGTAGTTCTTGATGCCCAGGTGCATAGGGGGCTCCTGATGGAGGAGGCATGAAGCCTGGATGACAGAGGACAACAGACTTGTGGCCTCTTTCCAGTGAGCTTGGCCCCACCTGACTCCTTCCCCTCCCTGCCCCCCTCTTCCTCAGGTACACCTGTATTCAGACCCGCCCCAGGCCAGTCAGAGCATCTGCTCTGGGTCAATGCCACAAGGAAGCAAGATCTTGTCCTTCTCTATCCCACAACCCAGATCAGCAGAGTGGTGGCCGGGCCCTGAGCAGAATCCACAGGCCTCTGAGGCCACAGGTGAGTTGGTGAAGGAGCCAGGCTTTTAGTGTCCTCCTGCTCATGACTCTACCCTAGGACATTTGGTTCACCCTGGGGTGACACTGACTTAGAGCCAGGGGAATGGAGTGCCAAGACCCTCTCTGGGCCAAATGATTTGACCAAGCTAAACAGTCAGATAGACCCTTGGCTAAGCCACCTGATGTCTTGGCTCTGTGGTGTGAGCATTTTCACTGAGTCCATTGTAAGCCCTAACATGGACACATATGACTTTAGTTAGTACCCACACAGAGCTGGGGAGGGACATACCTTTTATAACTCCATGATAGTCAGGAGACCTGGGATTCAGAGAGGCAAAGACATGCCAAAGTCACATAGCTTGGAAAGGAAAGGGCCAGGATTTGAACCTGTTTCTCCCAGAATTAGAGTCCACACCCCAGACCCCATCTTCTCTCAGCTTTCATCAAGGGTAGATCTGTACCTCATTTTCTCTGGTAGTGGAGCAGAATAGTGGCCAGCCCTCTTCCTGGGCTAATGTAAAGGTAGCCAGAAGGGGCCAGGCTATAGCTTGATGATATGGTGGTCTGAGTGGGCCTCAGGCCTTCAGCCTCAGTGGACTGGGGAACTGTGCTCAGCCCCAGGGTTCAGCGGCTGTGTATTCCAGGGTGGTCGTCCCCACGAGCAGACCTGAGTCCCTCCTCGTCCCCCAGCATGGCCACCCTACGGCGGCTTCCTCAGAGCCAGGGCATTGCCACAGACCAGCCTGCCACAGGACAGACCCAGGCACTGGCCTCCCAGGCCAGCGGGCTCCTAGCCAAGGTGAGTGAACCCCAGTTTTTCCCCATGAGACAATTCATCCCATGGGGCCTCTGTGTACGAGAGATGCTTCCACCAGCCCCAGATGTCTCTGCTCTACCTCCTTGTGGTCTAACTTAGCCTTCCAGGAAATTGACCATCCCCCCTTCCCTCAAGCACCCAGGATAAGGTTGGACCTGTCTATTGAGCAGCAACTGTCTGTTGTCATAGTTCCTCCAATTAGGTATGGAGGTGGCCCGTGGTTGCTCATAGGGAGGCCCTCAGCTTTCTCTGACCTCCACCCAACCTTTCCCTCTTTGTTCATTATTACTGAAGTCAACCTTGCTACCTCTTAAGGTTTTCCAGCCAACACTACAGCTCAGTGTTGTCTGTAGGTCTTTGTCTAACTTCACACTTGGCCTTGTTCCAAAGGTGTCTAAAGAGGCTCATGAAGACACAACCACATTCTGAGAACGGAAGTGGGGGCCCTGTGGCAGAGGGGAAGTCCACATAGAGAAAAATAAAGTAAGCTAGCTCATAACCAGTAAACAAGATGTTCCATAGGGCCTTGAGCCCCTGCTAGAATTCCGCTCTCCTTTACAAAACTATAAACGCAATCATTACATCACCTTGTCCAGAAAACCAGCTCCTTTCACCACTACCACCATTCTTTTCTTTCCTTTTTGGGGGGACTTGAGGTGGGGTAATGGCTTTACTGAGGTCTAGTGCACCTATCACACGCTTTGCTCCTTTCAAATGTGAGCAGTCACGTGTTTTCCTGTGTCATGGTCCTGCAGCCATCAAGGTCCACATTAGAATATTTCCATCACCAGAAAGACACCATCCGGGAAGCAGCCCTGACTGTCCCACCCTCCAACCCCAGCAACTCTTCACCTGCCTTGATCTCTGCAGCTCCTCTGTTCGGGATGTGTCGCATAAGCTGATTCAGCCTGTCTTTCCTTGCGTCTGACATCTTGTAGTTCCCCTGGTGTTTTCCAGCCCCTTTGTGGCAGAGCAGTATGTCATCCTGTCACCACCATTCTGCCACTGGGCGCCATCTCTCTTTGGCAGTCGGGTCACGCTGAGCAGGTGCAGAGCATGGCTGATGCCTCATCCCTGTCCCACCTGGGAGCCACTGCCCCTAATTGGGTATTTCATTCTTGACATGGAACTGGTTTGAGAGAGGATGTACTGGGAGTACAAAACACCAGAGCTTAAAGTGGAACTCAGCTATCTCACAGGCTGGTATCTCATGCCTGTAATCCCAGCACTGGAGAGACTGGGACAGGAAGGTTGCTATGAGTTCACGGCCAGCTTAGGGGGCTGAGTTGAGACCCTATCTTTAAAAACAACATCTCTCACTGGACTCATTGGTTATTTTTTATTGATTACGTATCAAAATGGTATTTGAGATCAGATAGAATATATTAAGGGCCAGCAAGATGGCTCAGGAAGAAAGGGGCTTACTAACAAGCCCAGTGACCTGAGTTTGAGCCCCAGGACACACACACACACACACACACACACTGTAGAAGGAAAGACAAAACTCATAAAAGTTGTTTCTTGACCTCCACATACACAACATGGTATGTACACACACACAAGCATGTGCATCTGTCCATCCATTCATATGCATGAACACATAATAAGTGTAATTCAAAATAAAAATATGTATTATTAAAATTAATATCACTTATTTCTTTTACATTTTAATTTCCACAAAACTTTTGATTATGTAGTATATGTAGCTCATATTACATTTCTATTTTATATATAATATAAATGACTTGCTATAATTCAGTTATATAAATTTCTCTACGTCAGTTTACCCTAATTCCTCAATAAATATTGCATTTTTTATTTTAAACATTTTAGTCCTTTTTTTTTTTTTTTTTTTTTTTTTTTGCTGCAAAGTTAGGACTAGAACTCAGATCCTTGTTTCTTTCCCTCATATTGTCCAGGTGGAATCCTTCGAGGAACTGGTACTTGCCGGACATCTCCCACCCCAGGACCAAATCAAGGTACCTCTACTCAATGCGGAGTCACACCCGCAGGGACCAGATAGCCTGTCCCCAGAGCCCCTTTTGCTGAAGGCAGGTGACTGTACTCCAGAGCAGTCTCATGGGAGCTCCTACTTAGTGCCCCAGGCAGCTGCTTATTGCGTCACAGTAGAGGCCCCGGCTGAGCCATAATGGCTTCCCAGACAGGCTGGATGTGCCATTGTTGTTTCATCTCCTCATTATAAACGCCCACAGGGGACCTGCGATCATTACCCCTGCTTAACTACAATGATGCAGAAACCCAGAGAGAAGTGACAGCAGAACTCCACAGGAGTGGGCGGCAGAGCCCTGAGCCAGGGCTCCTGCTTCTCCAGTCACGACTCCTGCCCTGCTGTACCCCCAGGCTCCAGAAAAAAGGGCCTTTGCCTTCTGACCTACTTTCCCATTATTTTCCAAAACTTGGAACCAAGAGTAAATAGGAGAGGGGATCATTTCTCCATGAAACTACTGAGCCTGGATAGACTTGTCTCCTTTGGATGAGAGTCTGAAGTAGTTATGGCCAGACATGCCTAATCTCTTTCCTGCTACCAGTCAGGGCCCCGGGAAGGCGTATGTGGGGCCCTCAAACTTGGGAGTTTGTGTCAGGAAAGACTGGTAGCATGGTGTGAGTGAGATAAGGGTCCCACAGAGGTGGGAAAGACCTAGGAGTACATGTTCCACTCCAGAATCTCTTCCAGATCCCTCTCATTGGACAGATTCCCTGGAAGCCAATGGAGGAAGAGTCCAGTTGAGGGCTGGGAGGAAGAGAAACAGAAATCTAGTCTTGGGGAGCAGATGCAGGATCCCCCAAGAAATATCGGGGCATGCATGTTCTCCCAGGCTGTGACAGACGCTACAGCAGTTTCCAGCCACAGGGTGTGTGACATGCACTGTGGCATATCACCAAGGGGATCAAGGGTTTCTCTTGAAAATTAAAATCGTTTCTTTGGGACCAGAGTGCTTGCCTAACATATGCGAAGTCCTGAGCTTGAGCCCCAGCTCTGCATGAAATTGGGTGTGGTGGTGGCACACACCTGTAATCCCAGCACTCAGGAGAGGGAGGCAAGAAGGTCAGAAGTTAGTTTTCAATTCTATAAGGAAAATAGGCCAGCCTGGGCTACATGATACCCTGTCTCAAAAAAAAATTCCTTTAAAATGTTAACAGACCCAGCAATTTTATTAATGGAGTACAGTTTCGTGATTTCATACATGTACATAACATACTAGCTCATCTCCTCAACTATTGGTCACATCTTTATGTCAGCAACCTTTGGAGTCCCCTTTTGAAGTTCTTTCTTTTGTTATTTTTATGGCACTGGCATCTGAACTAGGGTTCCGCGCACATTGCTAGGTGAATATTCCACCACTGAGCTGTGTCATCAGTTCTCTTTACTTTTCATCGTTAACATTTTTATTATCAGTGTGTGTGTGTGTGTGTGTGTGTGAACGGGGGAGAAAAAAGGAGTATGCATGTATGCACAAGGCACTGTGTGTGTGTGTGTGTGTGTGTGTGTGTGTGTGTCACAGTGCAAAGGCAAGAGGACTGTCCCGTGGAGTCAGCTCTTTCCACCTGGACATGGGTTCCAGGAACTGAATCCGGGTCGCCAGGCTTGGATGATAAGAATCTTCACCCATTGAGCCATCTCACTGTCCACAACTCCTCCATTTTAAGACAAGATCTCACTGACTCACCCAGGCTGGCTTTAAGGTTGTCATCCTCCTGCCTCAAGCTCCCAAGTAGATTCCAGGCTTGTGCCACCTCTTTTCTAGATCTGACGTATGTAATGATGTCATAACACACAACATCAGAGTTGATTTCGCCCCATTAACTGCTGTGGTGTGTGATGCCCAGCCTTCACCTGCCCTTCCTGGCCTTTCCCAGTCTCTAGTGGCCATTGTTCCCTCTTCCATGCAGCTTCCACATGTAAATGAGGACATGTGACTTTTGTCCTTATCTGTTTTCATTTAGCATGAGTCCTGTGGAGCCATCTTTCCTGTCACAAATGACAATTTAAAAATCCATTTTCTTCCTTTCCATCCTGATTCCTCCATATATAGGGAACCTGGGGGCTTCTGGGAGATCAGAAGTGGCTGGAAACTATATTCTGGGTTCCCGTTGGCCTCAGTCTGTTCCTAGGCTCATGTAGGCCAGAGACCAACAGCCATTTATCTATTGACTATGTTTATATTTACTACTATGAGGGCCTAGTAGAGTTGTTAGGACCAGGAGCTCTGGGCCCGAGTTCAAGTCTTGCCTGTACAACTTGTTCACTTACTATGTGAGTTTCCACAACCTAAATAAGTTCTTGTGTTCCAATGGCTAATTATTTCTGGTTGAGATTCTGTTGGAGTGGGAATGAATGAATATAGAATGCTTTACCTAAGAGCCACTGTAACAGTGACCTTTATGTATAGTGTGGGATGATAATGCCATCTGTCCTCACTATCTGTGAGAACTGGGGAAGAGAGTGACCAGTTTTCATGTCAGGAATGAAGATCTGGGCCCTCTAGATATTAGAGCTGTATGGGTACACAATGGTAGCATGTTTGATGCTGCATCTCACCAGGTACCATGGGTCCTATAATCTTCCCAAAAAGAGCCAGTGGCCTCTGGGCTGATTCCTAGGCTTCAAGTGTTTTATGGCAAAGAGCTCCATCTGGGCAGAAGCCTCAAGAGGTGTCCAGCTACAGCCTGTTTCTCAAGCCACATGAGAGTCCCATAGCCCCCAAGAGCCACCCATCCGTTGTGTGAGCATGGAGCCCTAAGGGCTCACTCAAATCTGGCCCTTGTGTTTCAGAGCTTGGAGCAGCTGAGGGCGGCCCACGTGGCCCTTAAGGCAGAATACCTTGAGGCCTGCAAAGAGCGGCATCTGAACCCGAAGGCTGATGCGTCCCCAGGAAGTCCCAGGACCCTCCATCTCTGCAGGTAGCTTCTGGAGAGACAGGCCCTGGAGGACAGGTGGGACAAGGACAGGCCCCTGGCTTCCTCTATGTCCAGGAAGGATTCATTTCACACTTATCACTGAGTCACAAGAGCAGAGGGAGCCCCTGTCCTATTGAGCAACATGGCTAGAGCTGAGAATCCAGGCCCTTTAGATAATCAGAACTGCAAGGCCCCTCACTAGACAGTGAGGAAACTGGGATCTACTTAGCGTCACACAGTATGGGGATAGCTGAGGGTACTGGAGCTAAGGCCTCCTGGTTCCCACTGAAGTTTTATCACTTTGCTATTGAAGTCCTTGGTGCCATCTATTAATGACCTATGTGGTCCCTGAAAGGATATTGCTAGGGCCTCTGATTTAATACCTGTCTCCATGCTGATATTTCTTCCTTCCAGAGAGCTAGGGACAGAGATATACCACCTGGGGCAGCGCCTGGAAGAGCTGCAGGACCACATGGACCAGACCCAAAGAGAGCCAGAATCATGCAGTCCAGACCTGCAGGACAACACCCCAGCCATGCCCTTCCTGTCCCGACCAGCTCATCTGCCTATGCCTTCAGGGTCAGTCTCCTCGCCATCTGTCCACACCACCCATGAGGTACTGCTTTGCCCATCACATTGGGCCAGTCCCTGTTTCTTTCTTTTATTCACGTTAATGTCTTTACTTACGTATTTAGGAAGTGTGTTCTAATTCCTGTGACACACGGTGGGGATTCAGTGAGGACAGATGGTGGAGAAGGTGACTTCTGGCCCTATGGAGTTGCTTGAATGCATGAAGTAGTTGTGGTATTATTCATCATTTTGATGGCATTCTGAAAGAGAAGTCCAGGTTCTGTGGGAGTAAAGGGAGGGTACTATAGCTGATTAGGAGGAGGGCACAGCAACTCTCTAAAGAAGATATGTTTTAAGTGAGATCTGAGAGTAAGTAACTGCAGGAGACAAGTCATTCAGTAGGGCACTGTGGCCTGAGTGTGGAGACACCAGCATGGGCCTTGTGACCATGAGCCTGTGGCTCACGTTTCAGACTGGAATTAGACTCTCCTTTGGTTTTCAGCAGAGGGTGGCAGAAGGATGATGCTGGGTGTGACAGGGCAGAGGGCGAGATGAATGCATGAGCTTGGACAAGGTTCAGAGAGCCCATTTGATCAGACTTTGATGGCAGTGGGAGAGAAGGCAGCCAGGTTGGCTTCCAGACCCCCAGCCTGGAGTGAGGGACAGGGTGTGGGGGTCTACAAAGCTAAGACACCAGACACAGACTGGGTGGAACGTGCTCTCAACAGGGTTCTCTCCACACCACAGTCCGTTAAGGCACAACCACTCTCTCTCCCTTGAGTCAGTGAGCTGTGGTCATACAGATGGCAGTGGTGGCAGCTCTGTGTCTCTAAGCTCCTGCTCCTGGTCTGTGGGGACTTTGGTGCAGGTGACGAGCAGTGTGGGACTGGCACATTAGGTGACTCGGCTGACAAGGCTGGCCCTGAGGGTTGGAGACGCCCCCTGAGCCTTGCCCGCCAACAGGACAACCCGGACAGGTGGCATTTCCTGTGCTGACAGGAAGCCTGGGTAGCCAGGCTACAGGGGAAGAAGTGAGGGCAGGTGCAAGCAGGATGCCCTGGTTTCTGTGTGGCTTTAACACAGCACACCAGCCTCGGTGTCTGTGTGAGGCGTGTGCTGGGGTATTGAGGAGAAATCGTGTCTGCAGTATGCCTGACAGGCGCCAGGAACTCAGATAACAGCAGCTAGCAATGAAGACCCTGTGGTCTTCAGGGTCTCACACACATGTATGAATGGCAGAGGATAGGCCGACAAGTTCACTTACTAAATGCTTTTCAGCACGTGACACTAGATGGCAGAGGCAGGTGATCAGAACAATGATTAATCTCTATCTCCCACTTCCTTGTACCAGCCTGCCGCCACCGCCACCTCCCCTAGGAGCTCTTGCACACGGCCCATGAACCAGGAGGTGAGCCCAGGCAGCATCAAGGCAGGGGAAATCCTGAAAGACCTCCCCACCCCACTCAGGGGCAGGGAGCTTCAAGTGGAGCAGGACTGCCACGGCCTTCTGGAGCAGTGAGTATCATAGGATGGAGGCACTGTCCACGGCTGGGCTGACCACACTGGGTCTTGTTTGTTCCCGTGGGCAGAGGTGACACTCTCTGGGCATCTTCCTGCAGATACCTCAGTGTGAAGTCGCTCCCTGAAGCCTTGAGGGTGGAAGACGAGGAAGAAAAGGAGGAGGAGCAGGATTACCATGGTACCTTGGAACTTGATGGTCCAGGCACAGCTCCAGGAAAAGCAGAAGCCACGAGGGTACCACCAGGACAGCGCCCAGCACAGGTTGAAGAAGGCCATAGGTCTGCCATCCAGTAAGTCGCTGGGCCTCTGTCAGAAACCCCAGGGTCCCACACAGGGATGGCCACTGGCAGCACAAGCAAAAGGGTTAAGACTGTAGCTCAGTGGCAGAGCACTTGCCTAACATGCCCCGAGTTCAAGTCTCATTTCAGGACTACAACACAACGATAACAAAAGTATCCATCCAACCTGTGATATTGTCGTCATGTTTCTTACATTATTTTCTAAAGTTTGTTTTTGTAACATAAAATCTTGGTCTTCCATTTGTAATAACGTTGTCTTTTTTGAGTTCATGGAAGTCTGTGAAAATAGCTAACCATAGGAAAAGACACGTGAGCCCCCCTCGGGCTCTGAGAAACTCTGCTTTAGCTGTGTTTCTACTCTCGTGTGCTGGGTGGGTTTTGTTGGCTTCCTGCCTTACAATTAAGAGTATGAGTTTCCTGAGGAGTGGATGGGGGTGGGAAGGGGGTGGCAGGAGAAGGGGAGGGAGGAGGAACTGGGGTTGGTATATAAAATGAAAAATAAATTTTTTTTAAAATAAAAAAAGAGTATGAAGTTCAGAGAGGGAAAGTATGGCCCGAGGTCACACAGTTCGTTGACAGAGCCAGGATGCATCCCAAGGGATGTGTGTCTATGCCAGAGTTTGCTCCTGGACTGATTCACTAAGCCCCAGGTCTGGGTCACCTGGCTCACCTGGGGCTCAGAAATGTTCTTTCTTTATCTCCTTCCCTGATAGGGAAGATGAGGAACAGGTGGCATCCATGAAACCTCCAAACTTCCGGTCATCCATGGCCAGAGATAGGTACACACCAGGCCTGGATACTGCTGAAGTGTCTCAACGGGGCACCAAACCCATGGCATCACACCAGAGCAGTCTAACCAGCCTGGAGGAGAATGGGTCCACAGAGCTCCTTCCTAGTAAAGCTCTGCTTCGGGCTGGCACGTCCCACATTGAGGTGAGTGTGCCTGTGGGATGGCCCAGAAGATACCCCCCAGTGCGTGGGCTCGTTTCCTGGCCTTTGCATACCCTGGCCCTTTTCATGTGTCGCCATTCTTGCATGCCACGTCTCCTGCTCCTGCAGCCATAAACCTGTCCATCAGTCAGCATTTGTATTCTACCAACAGTCTCCTGCCAGAGCCATGGCTTTTGACCAGATGTCACAGTATGTCAGAGCTGGTACCTGGCTCCTAACTGTGCCATTTGCACCAGCAAGTGGTAATTCTCAAACTGTTGCAGGGGTGACAGATGATATGCCGCTGAGGCCATGTATATGTATGTGTGCGTACACACGCATGCACACTTGGGCACACACACTACAAACGACACATACCCATACGTGTATACCTGTACAAATACACATGCGCATGCATATATGCACACTTCTGAAGTCCTGACGAACATATGCTCAGCATTCTCTACATTAGACTCTGAGAACGCTGAGATCATTCACATGTTCCCTGTATCCTGCTTTAAACTCATGTCCTCATGTGTTCATGATGTATGTTGTCCTGGGTATCTCTGCAGCACATGGAACTTCCTGCACCAAAAGATGCTGGGTTAAGCCATTTTCCTCCTCCTCTTCCCTCTCCTCCTACATCTTGCAAACCCTAGCATCTCCCCCAAGAGCCCTAATGGAACCCAATCCTCAGGACAGCAAGCCCTTGCTCAGTGTTCTCTTGAGATAGGAAGTCTTATACTAGTCTGGCTATGGTATCAGACAGCCCTTGAGTCTTGGAGTCCCTGGAATGAGAGGCCAGGAACTGGGAGGATTTTCCCATTGCACGAGAATATTTTCCTCACACTTAACAGATATGGTCTGTTCTAGGGGCCCTGGATGGTGTCACCAGAGACAGACAGTGGCTTCGTGGGCTCAGAAACCAGCATTATATCGCCCTTCACCCAGACCCCAGAGCACCGCCTCTCCCATATCAGGTATTCTAGTCTCCCATTTTCACAGGCCTGGGACATCTTGAAAATCCAAGAGTCTATGATAGCCCAGAAACAGGTGTCAATGGTCTCAGTGTCTTCAACCCAAATGATGGTCCCTGTCCCAGTCATACTTACAGAAGGGAAGAGAGGCTCCAGGAACAAGTGTGTCTTACTGAATATCACTCAGTCCGTATTGGGAGACATACATACACACATCATACATACATACACACACACACACACACACACACACATACATACATATTTTACTAAGAAAGTGCAGGAGTAAACAGAGTGAGTGAGTCGATGGGAACTTTAGGGTGGGTAATAAGATGACAGATGCCATACACAGAAGAGTGTCTGGGCGGCAGGTGCAGAGAGACCTGAATGAACTCAAGGCAAAGTGGAGGGTGGAGGAGATTTCCAAGAAGCAGGAGTGGTGTAGTCACTGTGGAGACTGGTGACCCCCAGGGCAGGTACTGGCCACTTGGCCACTCAGGTGCGCACATGAAAAAGGGACTAGAATTGGAAAGATGAACAGAGCTCTGCTCCTTCCCTATACGGCTGACAGGTGCACTGTGATCAAACGTGAGAACAAGGATGCCCCACGTGATGTCCTCAGTCCTCAGATCACTGAGATGCTGGAGACGGCAGCCCCAAGGCTGAGACTTCACGCTTTAGTACAGAGTGACCCGGGTACCATGGCCTAAGGCCTCTCTAACCTCAGTGTATCCCTCCTCCCCTGGCCTCCAGCACTCCAGGGACATTGGCTCAGCACCTCACTGCCTCTGTGCCTGATGATGGAGCCTCCCATCCCAAGGCCAGGGGTTCTGTGGTTCCCAGAAGATCCACTGAGGCTGGTACACCCAGAAACCGAACCCAGCAGCATCTCTCCTGCCTGAGCGGCTCTCTCTGGCAAGGGGCACACAGCTCCCAGTTGGAACAGACGCCAGTGGTTAAGATTGGTGAGTGGGGAGCCTGGGTAGGCTGCAGTCTGGGAGTGACCAAATGGTATGAATCAAAGCATCAAACACAGTCTTGTATTATACTTGAGGCTGGGAAATACTATGGAGGTTCATCACAGGAAAATGAAAGATTATAGATGTGGGGGAGAGGGGAGATAGCTCAGTTGGTAAAGTACTTGCCTTGCAGGCTTGAAGACCTGAGTTTTATCCCTGAGAACCCAAGTAAAAATGAGAGTGAGTGCCACTTGTAATTTCAGTGTTAGGGAGGCAAAGATAGGTAGATCACAGTGGCTCTCTGGCCATCTAGTCTAGCCAAATTGGCAACCCCAGAGCAGTGAAATCCTGCCTTAGAAGTCAAACAAAACAACAACAAACAGGGACTTGGAAGATGGCTAAATTGTTGAGCACTACTGCCCTTGCGGAAGGTCTGGGTGCTATACCTAGCATCTCTACCTCCAACCCCAGGGGGATCTGACTCCTCTGGCCTCTAAGGACACCACCAGCCTTCACGAGCACAGCTCTCTCTCTCTCATTCTCTCTCTCTCTCTCCCTCTCTCTCTCCTTCTCCCCCCTCTGCCTCTGTTTCTTTCTCATGTGCGCGCACACACACACCACACACACACACATACACACACCCACACACACATCCTCCCACCAATTCTTCCCCCATCCCCTCACCCTTCAGCTGAAGCTCCCAGTCTCATCTCTGCTGCTCATGTTAGTCTCTCTCTGCCTCTCTAGGGATTCCCAGGTCTGAGTTCAAGAGACAGAAGCAGATTTCCAAACAGCTCCTTCCTAGTGGAGCAACCAGCCCAGCCTCTGTCCCAGCCCCTACAGCTGCCTCGGTGCCCCATGAGTCAACAGAGAGCACTGCCAACCTCCTCCTCACCAGGACAGAGCGAGAGTAAGTAGACACAGTCTGGACAGTCCCCCATCACTGTAGGATGGAAAGGAGAGGAGGCTGAAGGCCATGGCAGTGCCCCTACCTGGCTTACGCATTCAAGGTGCCTATGCTGGGGCCAGGTATGCCAGGGTTTTGCCTCCTAGCTGGAAGCTGTTTTATGGGACCTCAGTGGTATTGACTTTAGGGACTCTTGTCCAACCAATGGGAAATGATCGACAGGTGCACCTTTCTGACTCTGAGACCATCCCCACCACCACTAGCCCCACAGTGTAGCATCTGCATTCCAGGCTAGTATGGAGTGAGGCATGGGAGCCACACCCAGTAATTCCAATGCCCGATAGGTGGAATTGGGAGGACTATGGGTTCAATACAGACCTGGGCTAGATAACTAGAGTCTGTCACCTCTCAGCAGTTTTCTGCTGAGAGCCTTCCCTCATCAAATAGAAGACCCTCTGTTACTTCTTGGAACACACAGGCAAGGTGTCCTGGTCACTATAGCCATGTTTGTTGCCCTGTGCACAGTCCTGCTCAGAAGCTGGTGTTCTGTGTCATGGTCTGAACTGAATTATTTCTCTATCCCTGCAGTCTACCTGGACCTCGGAGAAGTGTGTGTGTGTGTGTGTGTGTGTGTAGAGAAAGAGACAGAGAGAGAGGGGCACATTCACTTGTACTAGGCCTTGGAGATACAGTAAGGGACTGGACACTCCTCAGCTCTGGAAACCTCACTATCGTATAGTGCAAGAAGCAGCAGGTGCTCCCCAAGAGTCAGCAGGCCTTCGACATTAGAGTCTGAGAGATTGTGAGAGAGCTGAGGTTGAGCCTTTACCATGGAGGAAGCTGAGAGCTAAAGAGCATCTCTGGTGGAGGATTGAGCCTTTACCATGGAGGAAGCTGAGAGCTAAAGAGCATCTCTGGTGGAGGAAACAGGGCATGCACAGGCCAGTAGGTGGATGTCTCCTTTCTAGTACCAGATGGCCACGACTAGAAGGAGATGCTCTGCGTGTCAAGAGCAATAAATACTGAAACAGCTCAGGTTGGTCTGGTGGCCTAAAGTCTGAGGGCCTTCAGTACTACAGGTGGAAATTTACACAGTGACTAGCTTACAGATTGCACCAGAAAACGCTGGGTACCTATGTGAATGTTGGTTCTGGGGACAATGAGAAGTTTTAAGTGACAAAGTGGCCTGTCACTGTGCTTTAGAAGTTTCCTGGCTGCAACTGGGGTCGGCACAGAGTCCAAGTCGTGGAGGCCAAGAAGGATGCCTCAACAGGGGAAAGGTGACTCTGGACTCATGAGAGGAGGGGCATGTTTAGGAAGAGGCATTGGTGGTGTGCTAGTGTGTTGGCCTTCAGCAGGGATTGGTGGGCTATAAGGCTTGGAGGTGTATGGGGAAGGGGCACCTGGAGGACTGTGCTGGCTGCTTGGCCGGTTGCTGGCTCTTGGGCAGGGTCAGGAGTGGATCTGCAGAAAGATGAACTACAGTCCCTGGTGAACCTCAGACAACTGAAGTGTTAAGTCAGGAAGCCTAAGAGCCTGACAGACCCAGACAGAGCAGGTGACAACCAAGGAGGACAGGTGTCACCCAAGGATGCATTCCAGGTCCCAGGCCAGGGAGCCAAGCTCTGTGTCCCAGGCTAAACCAGTTTCTAGGTGCTCTTACTCTTCTGCAGCCTCTGTGGCCCCTGGGTTTTGCTTTGGAAACCCCAGCAAGCATTTCCCTGGGGATCACCTAGGAGACCCATGCTTGGTGCACACACAGCTTGATTGGACATGGCCAGAGCGAGGTCCACAAGCCTTCCTGTGTAGTCACCATACAGATCATATCTGCAGGTGGCAACAGGAGATTCCAGGGATCCTGAGGGGAATCCCCAGCTTGGGTGTTACACACAGTGTGTCTACAGAGCCCACCTCAGCCTGGAAGATGGCCACACCAAGCCTAACCTCCAGCGGTACTCCACGCATGGGGTCTGTGTCCGGGCGTTGGTTGGTTTGTCCTCACAGTGCTGGCAAGACCATAGGAGCCTGAGAGCTCAGCGAGCCAGAGGCCTAGCAGGCCAGACAGGCAATGTCATGTCCTTGAGTAATGCCATGTCTTTGGACAGGAGGTGGGCCTGTGTCTAGAGGTCACGTAGGGGACCCAGAAGGCAGCCTTGCAGACATCTTCCAGCCTGCTCACTCCACAGCACCAGAAGCACATGGAATCCCCTTTGTTTACTCTGGGACCCTTTGCTGTCTTCCTCCTGAAGTCTGAGTCCAGGAATGTTCACCAGCATCTGATGGCTCTGGGGTTATAAGATGGGATGCTTATCCTTCTTGCCTGTGTATCAGAGCTGGGGAGGCAAAAACATGGAGTGTATTCCACTGGGAATAGCTGTGGACAGTAGGAATAACTGCAGGAGGAGCAGAGAGCCCTGCTTAGGCAGTTACAGCTTCTGAAAGGAAGAAGGTAGGGAAGGCAGGGCATCCCTGGGCAGGGCAGGATGCAGAATCTGAGGATGTTTGTTTGTATGTCAGTGTCTTGCTATGTAACCCAGGCTGTCCTTGAACTCAATAGTAATCCTCCTGCCTCAGATTCCTGAATGCTGGAATTGCAAGGGTGTGCTATCAAGTCATCATCGGTGTCTTTTATTCTGTACCTAGTCCCTGTCTTGAGCAGCTGACCCTGCATGTTGGGGGGGGGGTCATCCTCACAGGTTGGTTATTCAGATTTGCCTGCGGACCATGAACTCAGAAAAGTGTCAAGGTGTGGCAAGGGACATTCCAGAGCCATTGGGCTGTACATTGGGCTGATCTTGTGTCTGCAAAGACAAAAGCCACCCCATCCAGGCAGCACCGGGGCCCCGCTAACTCTCTTGTGTGCTCAGATGTTCTTGTCTCTGTCGCCCCACCATTCTAGCCAGGCCATCAGGGATCTACAGGCAGAGGTGTCACAGCTCCGCCTACGGCTGGAGGAGAGCCTGCATCAGCCACACTCAGGCAGCACAACTGGTGTAGCTTCTGCTTTCCATCACCCCACAAGGACCCAGGACAAGCTGATGGGTTCCTCACCCCCCTGGAGCTCCCACTATGGCAGGTAGAAGATCGCCCCCAACTCCTACCTCTGTCCCTTATAGAGTTAGCCAGCCTCTGGCCCTCTCTGGGCACGTGGACTCAGACACTACGCTCCCCCCTCTCTCCTCAACATGGCCACTGGCCCATTCTTAAGCTTTCCCCCCTACATTTACTTAGTTTATGACAGGGGTGCACATATGCCACGGTCATCTGTGGAGGCTGCTTCCCAAACCTCATCGAGTGATGTCACCTCTCTCTTCCATGTTGCTAGTAAATCCACAGAGAGATTATCTGGGGAGCCTAATGGTACAGAGCCAGATGTGCCAACAGGAAGACGGCGAGCCAGGTCCTCCTCCATGCCTCGGGATGTACCCAGACTATTCCTAAGTAAGTGACCAGAGACTGGGACTGGTTTCTGGGGGCCCCAGTCATGCACTGGCTCTGTGGTCAGGGAACCTAGAAGAGCCAGGAGGCGGTCATCTGTCTGGGTGTTTGGAGCTGTTGCTGTGCTCTGGGACAAAGTACATCGTTAGTCCTAGCACCCTATACTATGCCACTACCATGAGGGAGGGGCCTGAGGGTCACCAGCCTCCACTGCCAGTGGATGTATGATCCCCTGAGGACACTGAAGCCTAGAGTACAGGAACCTCACTGACAGAGGACAGCTGTGGACTTTAAACTGGGGTTCAAACCCAGTTCCTGTACCTGGCCATTTTGTCACCTGCTCTGAGCATATAAAGTGACAGCAAGCCGTATAGCAATAAGAGAACCTACCTCCTGGGGTTGCTGCACAGGTGCGTGATAGCCACAAGGCTCCAGGCGAGATTCTGGAGGTGTGGACCCTTGGGTCCCCTGGGAAGACCCAAGACCAAAACCCAAGCATTACGCTCCTCAAGCAGTTTGAGCTCCTCACCCACCCCTTCTGAGGCTCCCTTTCCACCACAGGTTCAGAATCGGAATTGCTTTCTCCTCGGCTATCATCTGAGAAGAGTAGGACCTTTGAGGAGCATCCCCAGGCTGCACAGGAGGGGACAAGATCAGCAGGTGGCATGAGGCAGAAGGAAAGAGTCTCCTTCCGGGGCCAATACACAGGTGAGCCTTGTGCACGCCTGACAAGTGCTAAGCCACTGGTCCCATCCTCAGCCTTCGGTTTATTTTTAACTTCTTGTTGTGCACCTGTAAACATGTTTGTGTGTATGGGCACATGTGTGCATGACTGCATGTGTGTGTGTCCTCATACGCGTAGAGACCAGAGGTCACTGTCTGCAGTCTTCCTCACCACTGTCCACTTTATTTGCTGAGGCAATCTCTCACTGAACCCGAATCTCACCAGTTCAGCTAGTCCAGAAGACCAGCTTGCCCTGGGAATCCCCCTATCCCACCGCCTCCGGAACGCTGGACTTAGAAGTGGGCCATTGTCCTCCCTGCTCTTATGAGAGTCTGAGGGTCCGGACACTGGTCTTCACATTTGTGTTGTGGGCACTTTGTCTGCCAAGTCATCTCCCCTGCCTCAGCCCTTGGGTTTTATTAAGTAGCCGAAACTGCCAGGAACTCAGAGCACATTTGCTTCTGTCCAGTGCGATAGCAGGAATTTTAGGCCATTCTGGGACCAGACAGTTTTCTAGTGGTATCAAAGTCTTTCTGATGGCTGTCCAATACAGTCCTGTTCTGTCCTTGCCAAAATGCCAGAAATTGGTTCTGTGGTGTCCCCCTTTCCATCCATTTAGAGCCAGGAAGAGACATCGCTGACCCCTCCACTGAGCCTGAGGCAAGGAAGGGACAACACTGACCCCTAACTCTTGACACAGGTCATGACATTTCTGCCACCCCAGTTTCCACGCACTGCCTCTGCTGTGTGTGCTAATCACTCCCAAGGGGCAAGAACTGGCAGCGACTTCTAGAAGCAGAGATGCAGCAAGGAGCCCGGAGAGGGCAGTGGTAAACAGGCACCTGTGTTCTGTGCATATGCACACACACACACACACACACACACACACACACACACACACACGTGTACAATGGGTGCATCTACAGTGCATGCTTGACTGTGCACAGGAGATAGGCAGAGGACAGCTAATAAAACTACTGGGAGAGGAGAGGCGAGATTAAACCAGTTCCAAGTCCACACAGTCGTTGACACTGTTCATTCTGGATTCTTCCCCAGGCCAAGAGTACCACATTCTGCCCCCCAAGGCTGTCCTGAAGGACAGTGGCACAATCTCCTGTCCCCACTGCCAGCCCATTAGGACCCAGGATGCAGGTAAGAGACAGCATTCTGGGAAGTTGAGGCTTAGCCTCTTACCACTGGGAATTTTTATTAGGGCTGACCATGGACTTTTTATGAGAGTAAAGATTCAGAGATATTAAGTAACTTGCTCAAGGGCACACAGCTTGCAAGTGATAGAGCCAGTATTTGAACTCAGGTCTTTATGACTCCAGAGCACTGGCCCTTCACCATCACAAATAGCTATCCTGACAGACCTTTCCATCCATTCATTCGCCCATTCACTCATTCTCTCTCATTCAACACCTACTAATATTGTCCCTAAGGAACCAGCAGCAAAACAGAATGGCCAGGGCAAGACACAGACCTGGGTTATGTGACTAGACTGGGCTTGGGAGGTTCCCAGCCCGTGTGCTGGCCAAGCCTGGCCTGGAGAGCAAGTGGAGAAGTCTGATGCTCAGCCAGGGGCAACACTGGGGATTTGCATCATATGAACACCGCCATCCCTGCTGTGGACTATTCCCTTCACCCCCCACTGATCGGCTTTCCCAGTGACTGTTCTGGACTCCCATGGGAGGGCCGAGACTGTCTCAAAGGCAGAGTGGGTTTGTCATCCAGAGGGCCTGGGCCTGAGATCAGAAGGCCACTTCCTTTGGCAAAATACTGCCTTGTGACGCCTCAGTTTCCCCGACTGTAGAGGGGAGATGGGCAGAGTAGCTAGCACAGTGCGCAGCTGGGCGTTGTGGAGTGATGATGAAGGTCTTTGGCAGCTATCATGTGGTCAGTGCCCGCTTCTACCGTCCTGACTGCTGTCACAGCCTCTGCAGGTCATCCTTCCCAGACCTCTCTCTCTTTCGTCCCTTCCAGGCAGTGCTGTCGCTAGAGAGCCACCAGGCCCGTCCACTGCTGATGCCCTCCACTGTCCCCTGTGTGGTATAATAAGGTCCACTTCAAAAACGGATGGCCCCAGCTCAGGCCCCTCTGGTAGGAATGAGCCCTCAACCTCCTCCTTCAGTCATGGGCTTAGCCAGACCTTGGGAATGCTGTAGAGTCAGCTGCATCTGTCCATATCCTCACATGATGCCTGTGTGTCCTTCCTTCCCTTACAGAGAAGAAAACCTCAAGGAAAACTGCACCTTCCACCCCCAGCCCCAAGAGAAAGAGCAGGCAGATGGGTTCGCCAGTGCAACCACCCCCTGGACTCTGGTACCTGGCTGCTGCACCTGCAATCCCAGCTCCACCAGCCTTGGCCTACATCTCCTCAGCTCCCATCATGCCTTACCCACCACCCACTGTGTGAGTCTTCCCTTCCAACTGCCCCAGCCTGCCTAAGTACCTGCAAAAGCCAGCATGCTTACATCATGTCAGAGGGCTGTGAGCCACAGATAGTGCCTTCCTATAATTTACCCATGTGGACATGGAGCACAAGCCTGATATTCTTGTAGTCACTCAAACCCTCAGGGGACAAACTGCTGGGTGCTGGCGTCTCAATGATAAAAGTAGACGACGGCCAAGAGGGCCCTGTCTCTGGGAGTTACACTCCCTGGGGACCTGGAATCTTAGCCACCACCCTCTCCTAGTGAGTAACCCTGTGATAAGGACTTTATTTAAACAAACAGACTAAACAGTAGTATGAATGGGTTTTCTCTTCTTTTTAATTGACTTTCATTGGTGGAATGGTTTTGGATTTAGGAGAATTGTGTGGACAGTACACAGTTCTCCTTCACACTATGCCTCCCCCACACCCTGTCCTGATGTCTCTGTTCATACACACTCTGTACATGTTCCTGTTAGAGAAGCAACTACAATGCTTTGGTATTAATCAAAGCCTGTAGTTTTCCTCTAGCATCCTTGGTTTATGTCTGAAGCCATTTTCTATCCCAGGTTACCACCAGGATCCCCTACATTTAATTGGGGACACCCCTTGGTTGTCAGCTGCCCCATATTGCCCTGTCTCCATGGCTGTGTCATGCAAGGGTCACCAACTAGATGGGTTTCAGATTGAACACCACCTACCATGGTGGCCTGGTGACATTCCAGTGTCAGACATGACTGCACAGGAATACCTTCTCCCATCACCACTGTGGCTGAGGCAGAGGACTGCTTCCGTAATCCTCAGTTTCTCTGTCTGTCCTGTGGGGGAGTGGCTCTGCCAGGTACTAGCTGTGTGAGGATTGAATGAGACAGATATGTGTCAAGACCACACTCGGATGTTTGTGGAAACTTTTCGGTGATTCTGAGAAATGTCATGACTTGGCTATGTCCCCAGACCCTCTTCTAATCCTAACTGTCACCAACTATTTCTCAGCTTCAGTTTCCTGCACTGTAAAGTGAGTCAGTTGAGATGCAATGTTACCAATAGACAGTCTGGCTCTGTGGGTAGAGTGTGTGTGTGTGTGTGTGTGTGTGTGTGTGTGTGTATGAATGTGTGTGTATGTAAGTGTGTGTATGAATGTGTGTGTGTGTGTGTCTGTCTGTCTGTCTGTCTGTCTGTCTGTCTGTCTGTCTGTCTGTCTGTCTGTCTCTATGGAAGCTGACAGGGTTGTGGTGGCCACAACAAAGGGAGGTTTTATTGGCCAGCAGTTGGAGAATGACTTTGGGCAGATCACTGTGGCTCTCTGGCCTGTTTGTTTCTTCTTCTGAGACGATGAAGATGGTCAGTCATATGAAGGAATGTACGGGAGGCCAGGACATCATCAAGGGTAGCCAGTAGTTTTAGTGCTTTAGGTACAGTTAGAGCAAACTACACCTCAGGTTCCTCCTGGGCCAGACAGCAGGACTGAGCATGCTCCATGGTTGAACTAGAAATTGCAGTGGTGCTGTGCTGCCACCTGCTGGCCATATGCAACCCTGTAGCGAAGACTATAGTCCAAGTCCTTCTGCCTGGAAAGCTTGGAACTCTCAGGCCAAGTTGGTCCTCATATGAATGAGCTCCACTCATAGGAGCATAGGAGCCATCGAGAGCTCAGGTTCTCCCTAAAGAGAAGTGTGAGCTGCTCTGCCACCTCCAGGAAGCCCAGTCATTGAGCTTAGCGCTTTCCATCAGTTCCTGCCACTTGCTGATCAGAGAATGTTCCAGATACTGGTAGAATTCCACAGCAGCCCAGAGTGCGCACACAGGCAGCACGGGCAGGTGTTCCATAAGTGACTGCTAAGTGAGAGGGTGGTGTGAACTAATTGTGCCTTGCGCCTGCTCCTGGGAAGACTCTCACAAACACTCCCCTTCATCCCATCCCAACTTCATCTCTCCACATGGGCCCTGTACAGAGGGGGACCAGAGAGTAGAGAAGAAGCGCAGCTAGGGCTCACACCCATAGCCTGTGGCTTTGCCTGGCCCCTGCTTTCTCATACTCGTCCTTCTCTCCCCAGGTACTATGCAACCCCAGCACCTACCTCAGCCCGGACAGCCTCCTCAGAGCCTGCCCAGGGATCTCGGGGAACCCGGCACTCTGTCCATCTCGGTCTGGGTGACCTGGAAGAGCTGCAGGTGGCACTCAATGAGGCTGCCCAGGCCGCTGAGAATGTGCGTTCCACCACCCGCCAGCTGAGCCGTTCCCTGTCCGCGGACCTGCGCCATGCCCGTAGCCTGCGAGGCTCTTGCCTCTTCTGACTCCCTGGAGACTCTGAGGCAGGCAGCCTCTGTTGTTCCCCAGTCACCAGTGTCCCAGAGCCATTGATGGCTGGAAGATGCCATGCCCTCTCCCCAGGAGTGCCTCCATGTAGCATGTTTAAAATGGAGAGACATTGGTCTGGTCAGTAGTGGATGAACATCCAGGGGACCAGCTCTGTCTAGCAGGTGTAGTGACCATGGCTACCTCTGTCCAGGCAGAGCCTCTGAGACTTTGCTTGCTGTCTGCTCTTGCCTGTGTCTACCTGCAGCTGATAATATGGATCTTACTGGACAGAATGTCTTTACACTGGGGAGCTAACTTGAGCTTGGATCCTTCTTACAAGGCCATTGAGGACAAGGAAAGCCCAAGGTTGCCGCAGCATTCCTGTCGCCTGCCTGTAATAGCCACGCTGAGGCAGGAAGAACCCGGATAGGGATTGTGTTCCTAGTAGCCTGTGGACAAGCAGAGTGCTTGGGGACCCATAGAATGTCTCAGGATGGAGGCGTCAGGTGACACATGCCCAGACCTTCTGTGATTACAGAAGTTTTCCCCATGCACCCACAGAGTGCAGGCAGCCCATGTAGGGCCAGGAAACACCTGCCAGCCCCAGACCTTCCCTCTATTTCTTTGCATTTGGTTAGCATCCATTAGGGGACCAAGCTACCTGCCAGGCCCTGGCTGAGACTGAGAAACTGGCTAACACCTCTTCCCCCATCCCATAGCAGAGTGATCTCAGCATTTCTGAAATGTGTGTTTACCACAGATTGTTTATATATTTGAGGCATTTAAAAATCTATTTTCGTTATAAAAAGCTGATGAAGGAAAATGAATAATGTTCTTAAGGGAAAAGAAATTCCCAAAGCTACTTGTGTCTGTGGTGTGTATCGGAAGTCTGTGGTTTTTAAAGACGAGGGTGCGGACAGGGGAGTGGATGGCCAGCTAAGGCCTCCCTCAGGGTACCTGCTGTATGATTCCAGAGTCTGCCTGCCCTTCTACTGATCTCTGTCTCTGAGATTTCCTTCCTCCTGTCATTGTCCTAGAGAGGCCAGCAGAGCAAGGCTCTGGTGGTGGGAGACACCCAGCAGGAGAGTGGCTTCCAAAGCAGGCTGGATTCTCCTTCCAGAGTGAACAGCACTGTCTGCCTGTGCCTAGCTTGACACTGGGCATGCACGTGGCAGTTTTGCAGTCCCCATTCTCCCCTGCCCAGGGTATTGTCAGGCAGAGTGAGGCTCTGTAGAGCTGTCTGCATCAGCTGCTTTTCCCAGTTCTTTGGCGAAATGGCAAAAGCAAGTGAAGGGTGGGAGGCTCATGGTGGAGAGGGACACAGCCCATCCTGTCAGGAGGCTGCAGAAGCTGGCCACACTGCATCCAGTCGGAACAGATGAGTGACCTCAGCAGAGGTGCTCAACTCATTTTCTCCTTTGTCTTAAGTGAGAAGCCCTCCCCAAGGAATGGTGCTCCCCACATTCAGGCTGGGTGGTCCTCTCCGGAAATGTCCTCACAGACACACACAGAGTACATCTAGGTGATTGCAAATCCATTATTGTGTGAAGATTGTCTTACACCCTGCATTTGTCACCAAGCAGGCTGTGCCCCCAAAACCCCAGTCATAATTGTGAAATAGTAGTCAGCTGGCCTCTAGGTTGTCAGTTGCCAACCAGTCTCGTCTCAGTGTCATTGTCTTCTGGCTCACACGTGGGTACCCTGAGGATTCTTCCTGGGGACATCCAGCCCCTCTGGCCTACACCTAAGTCTGCCATACTGTGGTCTTGCCCTGGCCTTTTATACCATGCCCATAGCAGCATCCACATGGGCCCTGCTGTATCCCAACTCAGCTCTCCCCAGCAATTAGGATGGCACTGAAGTTAAGACCCTTGTGATCGTCACTGCACAGTTTCCCAGCCCAACTCACTGGTGCTTGGGTCTCCCACCTAGGCTTCTTCAAATGTGCCCTCTTGGGTTTGGAGCATCAGGTTTCTTCACAGCTCTTTGTAGCCTGAAACAGATGCCCCTTCCAGGATTCCTCAGATTTCCCTGGGTGGGGGCTTGTTAGGCTTAGCTAAGACTCCACTCGTGTCAGGCCTCTCCATGAATGAATGAGCGAGTGAAAGCAAAGAAATAGTTATTGACTGAATTTCCAAACCTTTATTGGTGTGGAGAAAGAACCGAGGTGCACAGGGTGGGTATGGTGGGCATGAGGACAGCCCACAGAGTACAGAGAGCTGAGCCCATGCCTTCCAAGGGTCACTCCTCTGGCTTCTTCTCTGGCTCAGGCTGCTTCTGCTGCTGGCTGCACATATCCTAGAGGATAGCAGTGAAAAGAGCAAAGTGACAGAGCCAGCTGTGGTGGCATACACCTGGGGGGTGCTGAGGGTTCAAAGGCATCCTGGACTGCATATGGTGGGTGAGATGTGAAAGAAAAGAAACATGGCAATATAGGTAAGCCTGGTGGACAACTTGAATTCCATCCCTAAAGCCCATGTGAGGGTGGCTGAAAAGGACATGCTCCACAGAGTGGAGTTGTCCTCTGACATCCATTACACACGTCATGGCATGCTTGCACCATGAGTGCACGCACATGTACACACACACACACACTAGCAATAAATACATTTCTCCCCCCCCCCTTTGGTTTTTCATGACAGGGTTTCTCAGTGTAGCCTTGGCTGTCCTGGAACTCACTCTGTAGATCAGGCTGACCTGGAACTCACAGAGATCCACCTGCTTCTGCCTCCTGAGTGCTGGGATTACTGCTTCTGCCTCCTGAGTGCTGGGATTAAAGGCATGCACCACCACCACTTGGCTATAAATACATTTTTTTAAAAGGGGGAAAATCACAATGGTTGACCAAAAAAAGGCAGGGTTTTTGTCAACCAGCTGTAACCAAGATCTCTGGAATGTCTATTCCTCTCTTGAGCCTCAACTTAGTCACGCCATTGAATGGGAGCATGGAGTCCCCCAAAGATCAGGCATTTTCTGAATATTCCTGACCATAGGTGCAGGTTGAGCTCCCTGTTGTGAGATGAAGCCACTGAGGCTGGGTGACTTTTCTTCGGTCCTGTGGTTGTGAGGTGGAGAAAGCAGGGGCTGTTTGCAGGCACCTGCCCCCTGGGAAGCCAGGCAGGTGCAGTCACAAAAGCCTTGTGTATCTCTCAATCTAAGTGTAAGCTCGTTGCCTGATCCTGTGACCTCAGCTAGGACAAACCCAAAGCTGAGGAAACCTTCCACTCAGCACAGGTTTAGAGAGAGCATCAAGATGACTCTGTGGGTCATCCCTTCCTAGAACCAAAGTCACTGGCTTGTCGGAGTCGGCGTAGTACAGAAGACTTCAACCTCAACTTGTAGTGAAAATGAAGGCCAGGGAAAAGCCTGCCCCCTAGCACCAGCTGCCCCCCCAGTTGCCCTTTCTGGTCCTGCCCCTTATTCTCCCCAGTCTTTTTCCAGGATCTTCTACTTAACCCCTGTCACCCATAACCTCATTGCCTATCTATGGTCTCTATGTATCTCAGCTGGGATGTATCACAGCAGGCAATAGTGGTCCTTAACAGCAAGACACCTGCCTTGCAGGATTGCTTGCAGGGTCAGCTTACCCTCTCTGAGGCTCTAGGGTCACTCAAAACGGGACCGTCCCAAGGTGGCATCATCCAGCCTTTTTACCTTTTTCCAGTCAGTATATATGATTTCTGACTCATTCATGCCCAGACTTTTGACAGCTTTCTGGAATTCTCTAAGGAGCTCAGGTGCAATATCTGTCTTGTTAGCTGCAAGAGAGAAGGGGTGGGGTGGAGGCTGAGGAAGGGTTCAGCAAATGGGAGGCCAGGCAGGGATGTGGATGGGGGACCAAGGGAAAGGACCTTGGAGCTGAACATCGGGGCTGTGAGGGGCCTACCGTAGAAGGACAGTCCCCGGTTCGTCTCATCCTCTGGGGCAAAGGTAAGGATGAAGCCCCTATGTTTGGTGAACACTTTCAGGTGGGCAAAGTATTCTTCTGGTCCATCTGCAGGAAGAAGGGCTGTGAGAGTCACTGGAATGGTGCCAAGGTTCCCATTCCCAAGGTGAACAAGCAAATAGCTATGGGCAGATGCCTGAGACTCCCTAGAGCTGCCATGTTCTCACCCTCTGCTGGGTGCCAGCCCTCTGTTTTCTACACAGATGAGGGATGGCCAGGGGCCTTGGAAAGATGGTAGCTCTCCGTCCCCATTTCACAGATGAGTGGGTACAAGGATTAAAGGCCTTGGGGCGGCTAAGCAGAATCTAATCAGGTCCATCAGCGTTTGTGTGGCCTTCCCATGTTGTCCCCGGTGACTTAGGGTCATGGGTTCCCACTTTGAGCTCACAGAGGATTGGAAAGAATGGTTAAAAGAGAGGTCTGGAGCTAGATTCTGGTGTGAATCCTGCTTCTGATTACAGAGAATGACTTAACTGCCCTGTGCTGTGTCCTCCTCTGATCCTTGTAATACTCTCCCAGAAAGTGCCCAGTTCACTTACAGCATATCCAACAGGGCCCAGCACAGGGCAAGAGGTCTCAGCTTTTGTTGGTCACATAGTACTCTCTGTGACCACAGGGTCCAGGGCCTTGGCCCATCTTCTCCTCTAAGATGGCCTAACCTCCTCCACAGACATACCCTTCCACATGAGTGCTGGCCCTTACCATGTTTGGAGATGGTCCCATTCTCTCTCTGGACTCCCAGCTTGCTGGAGTTAAAATAGACACACCGGTCCTTCCTACAGGCAAACAGCAAAATGAGAGGATATCAGGAGATGTGACTCGCAAGAGGCAGATAGAGAAGATAGTTAGCTGGCCTTATTCCAGAAGGTAGGCAGAGGCAGAGTTTGCTCAGGTCTCCAGGTATCGAGGAATGGAGGCCAGGGCTGGGCTGGGGTGGTGGCTGCAAAGACTCACGTGGTCTGGTACTCTTGGAGCAGTATAGTGTCATCTGTCAAGTTGGGAGTAAAGTAAAAATATTCTGCCTGTATCTCTTGAAGTGCCTGTTTGAACTCGAGGTTGCGGAAAGCCGAGCCGAGGTAAAACCATTTGCCAGAGAGCTGGGAAGACAAAGGCAGACAGGTGAGCAGGCTTTGGCAGTCAGCGGTGATGAGTAGCAGATGAGAGATGGCTTCTGAGTCACACATGGGGATACTGAACCCCAAGGTGGGGATCATATAGGTAACTCAGAAATCATCTGTCCACTGCTCTGTCCCCTTCTGAGAGACCTCAGAGGGATGATTGAGTCTGGAGGCCGGTGGATGCCACCAGAGTCCCAGGCTGGTTAGAATTTCACACAGGAGAGGCAAGGGCAGCAGCGGGCCTGGAGATGAAACAGACAGGGAAGGAAGGGTCCCAAGGAAAGGTGTCCATCTACAGTGCTCAGAGCCAGACCCAGAACAGGCACTCACCCAGCTTAGGGTGTCATTGGTGATGGGGATGTCTGTGATGCTGGCATGTTCTGGGCTTTGGGCCTCCAGCAGTGGCAGGAAGCTCAAAATGACAAGAACCACTCGCAGCGCCATGCCAACACTCAGAAGCACCAGAGCCAGGAAGAGCTAACTGGTGGCTGGAGGGTGCAGTGACCTTTATAACAAGATGGGGGAGGGGCACGGGAGTACAGCCAGGGGCCACAGGGCCTTGGCACAATCCCACCAGCACCGGGAAGTGTCTTGCACTCTCAAGCCAGCTTTTAAATGCAGTCATCATAGCTAGCCTGACACAGGCTCCTGCCATACAGATTCCTAAAAGCCAGAGCAAGCATTGATTCACAGACAATGTGGGTACTTAACAATGTGAAGATACTTGGTTACCAGCTACAGATTTTAATATAGATCCTTAGCTAGCAAGCTCATCCATTTCTTGTCCCATGCAGATGCCTAGCACAAGTGAGACACCTCCCTCACCCACCCCACCCCACACAGCAGCCACAAATCAACCCCAAAGGTGCTCTGAAGAGGCTCCAGGTCAGGGTCAGGAGTGAAATTGGCAGATACTTAGGGGGTCAGGTTGGGGTGGTCAAAGACAAAGAGGACTAGCTTCCAAATGCATGTGTTGCTTATGGAGACCCATAGCCAGTCCTGAAGATGGCCAAGAGCCCAGCAAAGTGTGGGGAAATGGATCTGAGTGGAGTAATTAGTTCAGCAAATTTCCCAGTATCTAAACCAGGCAAGGATCTGCCTATGGCCGTGCTTGCCCAACCCAGGAGCTGTGCCCAGCATCCAGGAAGTATCTGGTTCTAGTTCCTGGCTTATGTAGCTCAATCTTTGTCATTCACATGAATGAACACTCAAAAAGTATTGCACGCTCAGCCATGGTGGCTCCCACTGGGCCAGGGAGTCATTACTGGGAGCTTGAGACCAACCTGGGGTTATACAGTGAGCTGTTTCGAAACTTAACAACAAAAGTGTTATAGTGTGCTCACAATTTTGTGTTCCTTCTATTTTCTGTGTCCTCCACATGTTTTCATGTTTTGTATAGTCAAAGTCACAGTTTTAATGACACATAACTTGCCATTCACTTACCATATTCTAACTTTATGAGACCCTTTTTAAAATCTGTGGCATTTTGTATTGTATTTTCCCCCTCATGATAAGCATACAGAGCAATATATTGCCTTTTAAAATTACCTTACCCTCCAACAGAAAAAAAGCACAGTCAACTCCAGCATCATGCCCATGAATGACTCTAGTGGATTATTTAAAGTAGCCCCGAGGTTGAGTATTTTAAATGCCCATCACCAGGAACATGGGAAATGGATTGTGACATCCCATGCAAAAAGAGTGTTGTTTAGTAACAGAGAAATGAACTACTGATAGATTTGACGGTACAAATGAAGCTCAACAACATTGTGGCCAGCAGTAGAGCTCAGATTTCCCAGGGGTGTGATTGTATCTGTTTATAGGAGTTCTAGAATAGCCCAATGTAATCTGTAATGATAGCAATGAAGTCAATGGTTGCTTAGGACAAAAAAGGGGCCACAGAAGGCAGGAATAAAAAAGTCATACCTGGCTTTGTTAATCACAGATTACAGTCCATTTCTAAAAGGCACTGTAATTAAAAAAACAAAAAAAAAAAAAAAAAAAAAAAAAAAAACCATGCCTATCTGTGCACTAGGGATAAATAAATATTGATTCTACTGCCAGAGGCCCCATAGACTGCCCAGGCCCCCCAACTGACACCCATGTTCAGGGAGCCTGGTTTGGTCCTACATTCCCCCCGCTGTCTGACTGGGGTCCATGAGCTCCCACTTGCTCAGGTCAGCTGTTTCTGTAGGTTTCCCCAGCATGGTCCTGACCCCTTTGCTCATCACTCCTCCCTCTCTACAACTGGATTCCAGGGATGCTTAGCTGTGAATCTCCACTTAGCCTCTCAGCCTAGATACAAGGGGGCAGGCCTAGGCCCTGCCCTAAATAATGTGACAGATTTTCATGATACCCCATGGGAGGCCTCATCCTCCCTGAGGAGTAGATGGAGGGGTGGGAGTTGGTGGGGGGGGCATGGAAGGACAGGAGGGAGAGTGAACTGGGATTGATATATAAGACTGTTTTTAATTTAAATAAAAAAAAATTTAAAAAGATACCTATTGCTGGCTCAAGAAAATAAGATAGTCCCCATTGTATGGATGAAGTAACAAGCAGCACAGAGAGGTTAAGTGACCCAGAGAAAAGATACACAGGGGCAGAGAACAAGCAAATTTATACCTCAGCTGTGAGGACCCCTCTGCACCTGTAGCAATGGCCATGATGTGGACTGCTGATTCTAACTAAGTAGGACCTGTAGGCCAGGGCTGAGAAAATGCAGCAAAGATTGCTGGGACAACTTCAGGTCTTGTGTGGAGATCTTGGCAACTTTCCTGTGACTGGTCTCTTCGAAATTCAATTTCTTTGTCTGAAAGTGCTTCATGGTATGCACGCATTTCACAAGCCAAGCATATGAGATGAAAGCATAGTAGTACACTTTGTACTGGTGCAGGGGGTGTGGCCAGTGGACAGGCGCTATCTCCCTTGTGAGCGTGAAAGGTGCTTTTCTTGACTTGACCTCGGTGGATCAAAGGGCAGAGGTAAAGTGCTAGCCCTACCAGCATGGGGATTTGAGTTTGATCCCAGAAACCCATACAACAAAGCCTAGACATGGTGGCCCATGCCTGTAATCCTTGCAGTGGGAGGGTAGAGATGGGCAGGTTTCTGGTGTTCAATGGCCAGCCAGGCTAGCTGACTTGATGAGCTCAAGGCCAACTGAGAGACTTTATCTTAAGAAATAGGATTGACTACTACTCTGAGGAAAATCATCTGAGGTTTGCCTCTGGTGCACACGTGCACACACACACACACACACACGTACATACGTGTATGCATGCATGTACACATATATACACACAGGCATGAACATGCACATACACACATGCATGCATGCACATACACATAAACACACACATGCATGCATGCATGTACACACACATACATACACAGGCACCCATATATACCACATACATGCATGCATGAATGTACATATGCACACACATGCACACGCCTGTGCTCAACAGCAATTGACTATGATTTTCCTTTACTACTGTGGACTGATAGCCCTATCTATGACTGGCAGGCAGGAAGAACATACTTCTCATGACAAAATAAGGTCCCCCTAAAGGCCCTGCCCCAGGCAAGATACTTGCAGTGTCTGTCTGTTCTCCTCTTTTCCTCATAGGATACTGGACATTGTGGGGTCAGCTGGTCTTTGTTGACCTTGCAGCACTGTGGAGAGGACAAACACAGCAAGCTGAGCTTTTCCCTGGAAGCCCAGCCTGCAGGGGAAGCCATTCTGATGGCTTCCTGATACCTAGGTTGTGCAATGAGAGATTGAGAAATGTGGGGAGCCTGCCACCTGCTACTTGTAGGAAGAAACTGGCTCCAGGATGTTTGCTGGGGACCCATGAATCAATGAATCAAAGTGGTAAACACACTCCATCTTCCCCTCCAGCCCTTCCTGCTGGCTCTCATGTCTCCCATGCCATGTCTACAAAGCTGCAGAGAGGCTGCTGACATTGTCAGAGTTCCGATCCCCAGGCCTTCCTGTCATGTTGTCCCAGCTCTGCCACCTGCCACCTGCTTAGCTTGGCTCCTGGGCCGTTGTGTCTTGGACCCATTGGCTCTAGTCTCTGTTCTTCTAAGCAAAGCAGTGACTTGTTTCCTGGTGCCTAAGCCCCCCTGCTGCTGCCCTGCCACCACAAAGGGGGTCACTGGCTCTTTCTACTATGTGGATGAGCAAGGCTTGTTTCCCTGGCTGCAGCTGTGAACCCAGAGCCATGCTGATGCCTGAACACTGAGGTCTGTAGTAGTAGGTGTCCATACTGCCCAGCACACAGAAAGTTCTTAAACTGAGGAAACAGTGACTTCAGGCATCTGCCAGCACCTTTTCCAGGTAGGTGTTAAGAATTCACTCATATTACTTTACAATAGCCAGAATGGGACAAAGCCAGTGTCTACCAACTGAAGAATGGATGACTTGCAATCTGTACATATTGTATGCATTCAGCCTCTACAACTGTTCGGGACCATCATCATCCTCACTACCTCAGGTCTCTGAGACAGAAAATTACTGTCTCTTAAGAAGTAAGCAGAACTTTCAGCAGAGCATTCCTAGATACAGCCTTGCAGCTTTACAACCAGTTAAAGAACAGCTCAGGATATTCTTCCTTTTGCAGCTTTACAGCAAGTTAAAGATAGCTCAGGATATTCCTCCTGTTGCAGTTTTACAGCCAGGTAAAGATTAGTTCAGGGCATTCCTTCTACTGACCCTTTCATCCCGCCCACTTGCAAACCCCCACTCACATCCTGCCCAGGTACTATATAAGCCTCCCCTGAGAAAATAAAATTTGGCAGCTTGATCAGAATATGGACTTTCTATCATTCTTCTTATCCCTTGTCCTTCCCCTAGGTGTTTCCCAGTTCGTTGTTGACTGCCCTGCGGGTCAAGGCATATAACAGCCATATTGAATTGCATGCACCACAACTGCTTTTGTGTAACCCTCCTCTATTATCCCTTGCTTAGTTTCTCAGAAAACTATAAGTAGGTAAAGCATTAGCATGGTATGTGGAGTTTTTGTGTATGTGTATATATGTGGGTATCACGTTCATGGATGGATGTATGCCTGTGTGCATGCATGTGTACACATGCATGAGTATACATGCATGTAGAGGGCAGTGATCAACCCCATGTGTCATTCCTCAGGAACTGTCCAGCTTACATCTTTGAGGCAGGGTCTCACACGGAACTGGAGCTCATTGATTTTGGCTAGGCTGGCTGACCAGTTGGCCCCAGGGATCCTCCTGTCTTCGCTAGGATTACAAGTGTGTACCACCATACCTGGCTTTTTATCTGGGTCTGAGCATTGAACTCTGGTCCTCACACTTGCACAGCAAACACTTTACCAAAAGGGTCATCTTCCCAGCCCCAGTATATGGAGCTTTAAAATTAGGCCCTTCTACCAGGACCTTTCTATCCTTCCTTCTGACCCAAATTACACTGATGCACTTGGTGTTGCTATGTCCAGGATCACCTTTCTGCAGTAGATCCCCCTTAAATTGTGCCCT